GTATTTACATACTGTTCAACCTATACATGACAGCAATGGTTGCTTTGTTTCAAACCCTACTCATTGATTTTTCTCCTCATGGAATTTTACCAAATGCTGTTTTGTGCATATAAACATACTTTAATTTTAATTTCCATAATAAATTTACCCTGTTTGTACCCAGGTAAGCATTCAGCTTTGATATATCTGTCACTGGGATAATGCATGGTTTTGCAGATTTTTTCTTTTCACATTTTATTTGCTTGTTTAGGTTTTTTTTCCCATTCAGATACATACTTATTAATATAAATTGCCATGTAATTTTTGTCAAGTACAGTGTTCTCTGATAAAATGTTTGATATGTTTATTGTGTTGGACTGGGCTTTCCTACATTCATTTCACATGTGTTTAGGGTTGGGTAATTTTTATTTTCTTGTTTTTTCCTTGAAGGTCTTTCATACAATGGTAGATTGCTAATTTCCCACCCTTCTCTTCCCAAGTTTTAAATCACATGAAATTCATCTCTCATAATTTATTTTTTTCCTAACTCATTGGGGAAATCCAGTTTACTTTGGCTTGAAGTGATGATTGTTTGCAAAATTAATTTAATAGCCAATCTCATTTTAACATTCTGACCTGTTTATCAATTATAACACAAATAATTCAATCTCTAATTAGTCCATCTGTTAACTGCTCAAGGTCAAGTGACTTCATTTCATTACAAACATAACACAAAATACTAAACAGAGATCTAAAATGCCAGTTGATACTAAAGAAAGAGGCTATGTCTGTTTTATATTTCTGAAATAATTGTGTCAATTTATATGACCATTTTTCTTCCCTGGAATATATTTTGAATCTTTAGCTTCTTCCTGCACAGAGCATGGACAATTTCCCTCTTTTGAATTTTTCTCCTCATGCCATCTTATTTTGTATTTCATCCTCCATTTGGAAGGACTGCAGTTGATTCCTGCAGTTCTTTGACAGCATCTACTAGCCTAAGAAGTTCAAGTATCTTAATTTTATTGATTTGTTTTATTTTCCCATAGATTTAGTTTGTCTCTGAAAAACATGAAAAACAATGGTGCTGTTGTGTGTGTCTGTACTCTTTTCAAAACTGGAAGTTATAAAAGGTCTTTATCCGTGGCATGAAGACCTATATCCAGCTTATTTGTATCAAAAAATGTGATCATAAGAAATAAACTAATTCATTATCCCACACAGTTGAAAATTTACCACAGCAAAGCAAATAACTACTTAATAAATGCTCAAGTTCTGCAAGTCTAAACAAATGGAATAGGGAAATAAAACTCAATCCCAAACCATCAAGTTTTCATCAAGAATCTCAATTTAAACATAAAAATTTAATTTAAATGTATTTATCTTCTCATTTGGAAAATCTCGTGTCTGTGTTTGTTCTATATAATCAAGTGGGATGCAAAATTTGAAAGAAACTAAAGGAATAAAGTTTCTCACACTATCAGGAGACTTCACAATGTGTTTCTTTAAGAAAGTACTAACTTTTGCACATACTGGAGTTAAACTTGGAAACCCAGGAAGCTGACATGCCAAATGCATCATATCTGTTATTTAATAAAAGCTTTGTAGAATCTGTGACAAGTCCATAGAAGTAAAGATTTTTCTAGGGGATGCAGCCAGTATGCTCCAGTTGTACTCTGTAAGATCATAACTTTGAAGCCTAAAATATACATCTACATTAGAAAAAGCTGGACTGATGGAGGAAGGAGAAAGGGATTACCAATTAAGTAGATAAAGTCAGATAGTCTCCTTGTAAAACTTTGTTGTGCAGAAAAAACAAGTAGTGTTTTAATCTCATTATAATGGACAAAGGCGATACTTGGGCCTGTTGACATCCTGTATGTTATTTTGATTACCACAACAATGATATTGTATTTGCTATATTAGGTTTTTTACTACTAAGTAGGTAATGAAAAACAAAAAATCCTTTTCTGTGGCAGACTAAGACTTGTTCAAGTTCAAACTTGTATTTGAACTCTAAATGACCTGAAACTAGATTTATACTGAATTTCTTGACTCTCATATAGCTCAGTATCAGATCTGTTGTATTCTGTGAAGTGTGAATTTTAATTTGAGATACAGAACATAATCTGGCAATTTCAGGGCTGAGTGATGTGGTGGTGTGGGAGCTCAAAGCCCTTTTTGTGTGGGACACAAGGCCAGAAGAGAAAAAAGAAGCTACTTTGCTGCCATTTTCCCATTAGCCCAATGATTAGAGAATATCTGGAGAGCAGAAGAGATAAAAATGCAAACAACTTTGCAGATTCAAATCTACTTCTCCTGCTAATCAAGAAAGTGTCTTAATTTCTAAGATACTGCATATTATTGTGTCTGTTACTTTCAGTTCTCTGTGTTACTGGTTCTGTTTTGTATAAATATACTTAACCTCATAGTTAAGTAGCTTCTAGTATACAGGCACTGCAAACTCCTGATGAGTTTTCTTACAAAAATGTTGCAGAATGACAGTTTTCTTTATCTCTGACTATTGATTTGGCATGGTCTGGAATTGCCCCAAGAAAAGCTATTGTTGGAAATCTTTTCCCCCAGGTGCATTATAGTTTGAGCAGTCTCAGTCAATGATTCTTATCTGAGAAGACTGTACAGAAACCTCACTTGAAAATGTAGAAAGGGAACCCAAAGGTGAGTTCTGGCATCTCCCAGGCAAATGTCTTTGCCTGTGAGGAACCTTTTTTCTTAAGTAAATATTTGAAACCTTTTATGAAAATGGGAGAGCTCCAGCAGGGAGACTGTGGAAATCCCAAATGACATTGTGGAGCACTTGTCCAATGCTGCATCCTACTAGAGCAAATGTGGCAGTTTCCATTTCCTTGGGCACTGACTGAGGTCTTGTCTGTTCTGTTCAACTTCATGTTTAGAAATAGAAAAGGGCACCACCCTCACCTTTTTGAGGGTTTTTATAAGTTGACTGAAGAAATATTTTGAGTTAGTGGTTGTTTCTGTTGAAGAAAAAAATGTTGGTTTCATATTTGACTGGATTCCTTTGTGTCTGAATCAGCTGCTATTATTTTCAAATTTAAGTGGAATGTCAGACTTTCTCGGTAATATGATATTCAACTACAAGAAACATCAGAGAACATGGCCCACAAAATAGGTGAAAGTCTCGATTAATCAGTCTAGGAAACTGAAATGAATGACAATCACAAATCAGGAACATTAGTTATAGCATATTACATGCTAATCTTTAATGTAGAGCATGTCTAAGACACTATTTGATTTAACATTTTAATAATAAAAGCACCTAATTTGACACAAAAAGGCTATTATTTTTATATATTTTGTTGTGAGAGTTGTAAAAGTCGTGCTTTGCATTATTCTGATGTTTCTAACAGTCACACCACAGATGCACTTGGCCCTTTGCCTTTTGGATTATAGGCAAGACATAGAATGTTGTTGTTTGAAAGCTAAAGTAAATCAGGCTGTTATGAATTGCTAAATGCAAGATCAAACCCATAATCCTCTTTGGACAACTGCTAAGAGAAGATGGAAAAAAAAAAGCAGAACTATGAACTGTGTTTTTCAGGCAGAACGGAATTTCTTGATTTTTTAAAATAATTTTCTTGCATGCTAGCTGGTGAGTTTAAGAAGCTGTTATCATTGGGAATTAAGATAATGATGCTTATCAGTAGATGGGAAATGTTAACATCGGCAACTGGAAGAAAATACTTTGATATTTCTATGCAGATTCTTACCACCATTTGACATAAAAATCTTGGCTGAGAGAACATAGAACTAACAAGTATGTCTTGGAAGATAATAGATTGAGAAATATACCACAAAAGCTTTATAGAAGATTTGTTTTTCTGTGACTGACTTAAAGGGCAAATGTAATCTTTTTTGCAGCACTTTGGCTCTATCATCGGTACAGTAAAAAATAAAGCAGCTTCAGTGTGGACACAACAGTTTCTAGTAACAGGAGGCTGATCCTTATGGTGAGAATTTCCCTAAGCATAGTGATTCATTTTTGGTGCATGTGTACTGCACAAATAGAAGACTGAAAATGCTTAAGAGAACTGATATGAGTCCCTAACACAATGCCAAAATTATTAGCATTTGATCTTTTCATCAAAAGCTTCTTCATATAATAATAACAACATGGATTTGAAGAAAAAATCTTTTTTTCTTAATTTTTTTGTGATTGGAATTAAAAATATGAGTATTAGATGCTGGGGAATAGCATAGCTTGCCTTCATCAGTTCAAAAAGAAAGAGACTAGGGTGGGGTGAAGATTATTTTATAAGGACAGTGTAGCATAGATATTCTAATCCTTATATTTATTAAAAAAAAAAAACTGAAGCTTGATGAGATCTGATTTCGATGTCTTTAGAGTATTTCTAGGTGTCTTAGGCATAACTCACCACTGAGAGGTGTGATTTAGCTGCATCAAGTGAAAATGTGAACTCAATGATCAGGATGGAAGTTTTGCAAAAGGAACACCCTTAAGCCCTCTTTGGCTTTACAGTATGTGGAGCTGTCAGTAACTCCTCCAGAGCCTCAGCTATTGCACTTTACAGTTATTCTGAGCTTCTGCAAAATGCACTAAGCAAAAAATTCACTGGCGTAAGTGCACTCTGCACTTGCATGAGGAACTATGTATTCAGGATAACAGAGCACTAGGCTGAGGTTTTATATATTTGGAAAACTCTGGAAAAATGTAATGAATTGCACCTGAGTATTTGTGTTCCATTATTGTTGCAGATTCTGTAGAAAAAAAATGAAAGGACATCTGTGAATACAGTTACATGGAAATAAGTTATGGAAAATACTATTATCTACTTTGTAAACTAAGGAGGAATTTATTCACCTAACCTTACCTGAGTTAGCCATCTAGTCCAAAAAGATCATCTGGGATCATTGAGTGAAATAGGAAAATCAGATCCAAGCCAATTTATCCTCCCTACGTTACTCATCTGACAGAATAGGGACAATTACTCTCCAGATGTACTTATCTACCTTCACGGATGATGGAGCAGCCTACACTGGCAGGTTGAATTTTATGGAATGCAAAGTAAAAGTATAAATAAATATTGGGAAAATTCTGGGGTTCGATCAAAGATCATTCCTCTTGCACTTTAGCCAAGCATCTCCAGCCAATCTTCCTCGCTCCATTTTATCCCTCTTCCTCTGGGCCTTTCAACAGAGATGTGGAAACCAGATCAGTGTGTTCACTTTTGCAGGAATGTTTGCAACACTGCAGACTTTCCATGCTACAGCCTCTGTTTGACCTCCTAATCTTTTCTGTAAGCTAACAACTGAAGTTCAGTCGCACTTAAACTGGACACAACACTCGCACTGGAGCAGAGAGAGGACAAATGATTATTTTGTGTCACTTCCAAAATCCACTTCTTTTCACTATTTGTGATAAGCTTACTCTTCTAATAACAGTTTATCACATTCAGCTAGTGATAATATTTTTCACTTGAGTTTTTCATGGAAATATTTACAAGATTTCTGATTATTATCAGACATATTTTGGGGGGTCTGAAAAAATTTTAAAAGAGTGAAAAACTTTCCTCTTACCCTTTTACAGCATTATGCAAATATTTATTTAAATTTAGTTTTGTTAAAATTCCTACTATTTCTGGTTTTAAGGATGGAGATCATCTAAAGTAATCAGTTCTTCTTCAGTAATTCCTTTTACCTTATTTTTATGAAATTCTCTATGCTTTAGGTACTAAACGAAGATCCTATAATTCCTTTTAAATGTTGTCCATATCCAATGCCAACTTTAATGTCAGCACTCTCTTTACAGCATTTTTTTGTTTGTATCTTTTGTTAATTTTTTTTCTTTGCTTCTTTTTTAGAGGGTAAAGGAAAAAGGAGAAATCCTCTTCATGACTTCAAAAAGACAGGAGAGTTGATGCTCATTAAAGTAAACAAAACACTGGAAGTAAAAACTAAGCTGTTAAATACCACTGAGCAATGTGCCAAGAGATGCAGCAGGAACAAGGGCCTCTCGTTCACTTGCAAGTAAGTTATATATCTCTTATTTATTTCTTTCCCTAATGAAACATATACAAAAACCTTTGACCAAAGGTGTTTCTGTAATTGTCATCAGCGGTAGCTTGTACCTGGAACAACCTAAAGATTGTGATTTTTGATTTCAATGATGTTGTTCTACCTGTCCAGAGAGCGTCAGTCTTTTCTGAAGCTTTATATGAGTTATCTGTCTTCTTAGCTTGTCCAGTCTCTGATCTTTTCCATAACATAGCTTAAATAATGTACTCATGTTAAGATGTGGATGACTTGGGCTGCACTGTAGAGGTCGGTGAACATTTCTGAGATTTTTATGTCTCTTATAAAATGGTTATTGTCACACATCACAGCTGCAGTATTTCAGCACCACTTCAGACCATATTCTGCTTTCATTCTTTGCACATTACTCCTGCTGCAATCAATGAGAACCTCACACATGGAGCACAGATACATGCACTGCTGAAGTTGACTGGCAAGCACTACAAAACTGATACAATGGAATCAAACCTTCTGGGCTGTGGATAGCTATCCTTCAGCATCTGTCGTCTCTTAGAAACACATCGTGCAGCTGATTACTCGTCTACCTCATACATATCCTCTACTATTTTTTGGAACAAATCACTATTATTTTTCTGACGTGTTAGATTTAAAAGATCCCCTTGGCCTCACTTAGTCTGGACCATTAGCAATAAATGAAAGACCATGAATGCAGTAGAATCTTGGAGAGAATGGATGACTTCTATACTAGTCAATACCGACCTAAATGTGAGCCTGAATTTGAGACATAAAAAAGTTTTAACAATTGCTACAAACGAAAGCTAGAACAAATATGACAACAAAAACTCCTCCTTGGCAGAAAAGGTTCTCCACTGTGATTTAATTCTTCTGTAAGCCTTTAATCCCAGTGTTGCAAGATCTAGTTAGTATTGTTCTGTACTCTGACTATTTATATATGTAAACAATGAACAGAGTTTACTTTTTTCTGATAGAAAATATTTTCCAGGCACTAATATTTTTCACATGGTGCAAGCCACTCCTTTTCTTATTGGCAGAGCTTCCACTGCTGTTATTGCCAAGGGAATCAGGTTATATTCAATAGAGTGAGACATCCTTGAGTTCCGATGGTTAGCAGTGAGGAGTATTATAAAATTATGTTTCACAGTATAAAATAAATTCTGAATAATGCGAGCAAACAACAATTCTATATTCCAACATCAGTTGAGGAAAATTGCCTCAAGCTAGTTGTGGCTGCTCAGGGTGGTATCTTTTGTGTTCTGAACAGAAAAGGTAAGTTAATGTATTTGTCTATTCTATTTTACATTAATATTAATCTATATTCTCTCTGAATTAAAATGTTCTCAGTTATTGTAGATTTTTTTTTCTATTGGGACAGTGTCTGATGGATTCCTTAAGGGGCAAATTCTCCCTGGCTTAATCAGTCAATACAGTAACATAGAGCAACCATGAGGGACTTTGAGAACACAACTGGAAAATTTGTGCTCACAGATATCAGAATCACAATCTGTCATGCAATTACTTCATACTGAATATGAAAAAGAACTACAAATCTGACAACTCATTCTCTGAATGCCCTATTTTCCCTTTCATATTTTTAGGAAGGAAGCAGTGTAGGTGATCAGGTCTTGTCTTACTACTGTTATGCTGCAGAGCAAGTGGGATTTTCTTTTCTGGGATCTTGGAACATCCTTGTGGTTTTCCCTTTGGCCCCAGAGGAGTCCCGCTGTAGTGTGCACAGTTCTTTGATACTACTGTAAACACACATTTGACATGTGTTCCCTTTTAAAGGACAAGTTATTACTAATGTTTTCCTTTTATTCCTAGGATCATAGTCTTTAATTTCATACCAGCACATGATTACTACAAGGTGAAATTTGTTACCAACTAAAATGAAAACCAACTAGTTTACTACTTGCTGAGGGAGCATTCTAAAATAAGAAGAGAAGCAATACAAAATAACGTTTTAAATATTTGAAGTACAAGACTTGGATTTTCCTTTGTTTGTTGACGTTTTCATGACTTGATTCTCATACTCCATACCCATGTAGCAGTTCTCCATCATCTGGGCCACAGCACTGATATTTTATTTTCTGGATGCAAACTCAATTTATTTAAGCATTATTAGCCAATAAAAAGGAATTATTTTTTAATATAATTGTGACAATAGCACTGGGAGCAGCAACATCTGAGTCTGTGCACTGTGAGGTACACAAACAGGAAGAAGATTAAGTTTCTTTTCTGCCAGAAAGTGGTAAAGAAGATTTCAGGCACTACAGACTAATAAAGGATCAACCACTCTTTATTTTCTGGAGAAAAAAAATAAGACAATTTTTGATTCCTTTGTTATAAGTTTCTGTATCACTTGCAAGTAAATTTTGAGTATTATATCAGTTAATAATTAATCCTTGCTGTTTTTATCTCTGGCACGTTTTTGTTGGAACTAATATATGTCACTTTTCAGAACAGATGTTTCCTCTGTTCCCTTGCTCTCATGGTTACACAGATCTTGTTCTTTCCAACTGAGTTACAAGATCCTTATCTAGACCTGTTTCTTTTTTATAACATTATTCCTAAAATCCTCCATTAAAGAACTCCTTAGATTAATTTACATTGTCATTTGAACTTCATAAATCTCTGTGCATCTTTTTCTGCCATCTCAATCAACTTATCAACCTGCTGCTGCTAAGCTCTTCTATTCCTGAGTTTCATCACCCTTTGCAGTCCATATTTCCATTGTTTTCTTTCAGTCATCTTTGCAGGTTTTCCCACTACATTTACTATGAAGGAGAAAAAGATAATGTAGTTACTATTTCATTGTCTGTGCAAGTGACTTTTGCAGGTATGTCCCTTTCTTAGCGACAAAGTCGTCCCTGTCTCATCCTTTGTTATCTGCTTGGAGTTTCTGCATTTACACAGGAAGGGATTCCAGTATAGATCACGGAATTTCAGTACCTGATGAGAAAATCTACCGACTATCTCAGTACAAAGAGCAACAAGAAAAAATGGTTGTGATCATCAGTATCAGTAGAAGAAAGTACAAGAATTTTCTCAAATATGTTGACTTTGGAAGGACAAAAAATCTGCAGATTTAGGTCCAAGAAAAGATTGTTAGAAACTTTTATGTGCAGAAGTGATTGAAGCCAAACTGGAAAGAAACCAAAAGGCAACTGAAAGGCAAAAGCTGAAAGAACTGTTTGTAAACAGTGCATTCTGCATTCCCACTTTAGGAGGGAGGAGTGGAAAGGAGAATGTAATCTGAAAGGCAGGAAAGGTCAAGGATATTTTTGTGAAGATGGAGTTAGAGGCACTTGGATATGCTCATATTTGAGAATCAGCCAGAAGAGAACAGAAGGTTTCACAAGGGCAGAAGGATGAAGGTTAGCAGGTTGGAAACATTTGGAGTCAACAGAGTAGAGAGAGCAGTTGGATGAAAAATCTGTTTGGTGGTGGAAACGATAATGAAGAAGATGTTTGAAAGAGAGAAGACTGGGGAGATTGGACTGGATCGTGCAATATTTTTAAACAAAGCCAGTAAGATCTCACACAAGAAAGCTTGTATGGTGAATTAAATGGAGATCAAAGAATTTTTTGTTGAGGGATGCAGTGCTCAGGAATATGGCACAGCCAAAGTATGGGTGAAGTGTAAGAAATCTGTGTGTCTTTTCAGTATTATCAAGTAGTGATAAAATGCCTTCTCAGATCAGAATAAAATATCTCAGAAGGTATGGGATGACTGACAGAAATGTAGATTTTGTGGTAGGCTAGAGGCAATAGTATGATGTCCATGATTTGTTATTTTGTTTTAATGAAAAAAGTTAAGGAAAAAACACCTGTGGGGTTTTTTTCTGTCTTATTTTTCTATCCTTATTGGAATAATTGTTGCCCCCTCCAAGGCAGTCAATTATGTTCTTAAAATCTTTCAAAACATTTTACCTACACTTAAAGTCTATCCTTTCAAAACGATGTTAAGAGAAAAAGTCTACATTTTTCATTTCAAATATTGAAAGAAGGTCTTTTTACTCTTCTGATTTTTATTTGTCTTTCTTGCCCTCCCCTCAACCCAGTCAATTCAGCATACATTGTACTCTATCCTTGAAAGCAGTTAAAATAAGAGAAAAGAAGAAAACAAAAGCAAGGCAAGGACAAACTGTAGGCACACTATCACAGTTTAGTTTATTCATAAAAATAAAAAGAATCTTGTTTTTAAGCAGCTCTGTTGATCTAGTTAAGAAACAGATTTCTTGCTCTTGAATTTTCCTCAAGCCACTAGTGTGAGATACGGAACTATTTCAGAGCCATATTGTAAGCATAGCAAAAAAGGATATTTTAGAGTCTTCTTTTTTTTTTTTTTTTCCCAGAAAGTAGCATAACTGGGGACACATATGCTGTCTCAGTCACATTTATCTCACTTTTAAAATAAAGATCTTTAATGACAAGGGAACTCTTAGATTAGTGTGAACAACTAAGCTAGTATTTAATGTAATGGCCACATCAATTTAATTTCTTTGTTTCTTTGCTCTTGTCAGCAGAGTTGTGGGTTTAAATAGTAATTTGGACTGTTTCTCTGATTTTCCCAGTAAAAATAAATCTGATGTCATTGCATGCTCTTTGGCAGGCCATGTGTCATTATTATAAACCACACAGAGATTTTTTTCTCATCCAGATTTTCTTTTCAGGGCCTTTGCTTATGACAGAGTTACAAAACGGTGCCATTGGTTATCCTTCAACAGCTTGACAAATGGTGTGAGAAAGAAGCAAGACCATGCGTTTGATCTGTATGAAAAGAAGGGTAACTGATTTATTTACTGATTTTGTTTTTCCAGCAATGAAAGGAGAAAAGAACCCCTGAGGTCAGTCAGTGATTTTTGACTGTAGGAACATCCTGGGCAAGGGACAGTTCTATGAATTTTGAAAGTTGCATTTTACAGTTTTATTTACACATATCCTGAGTTTGTTGTCATGCTAGTTCCTCTACATACTTGATCAGTTTTCCAATGTACATATTTGCCTACCATCATACATACTAGCCTGAATTTTTACTTCATCTTACTACTTAAAAATTCAACTGTATGTTAACATTTTTGACTTAATATTGTTCTTATTCACCTCATTAACGAGTGGGAGACTTAAGTCATCAGACTTGAAGAGTTTTGTTCAATCAGACATGTTGGAAACATTTTCAGGAGAGTTTTTTAACTCATTTAGTGATCAGTATTTTGGAAAAAAAAAAGGGACATGAATGTATGCCAACAACTAAACAGTATTTTGAATAATTAGGAATTTAAAGGCTATTAAATTATATTATTTTGATAATATTATTTATTATAATATTTATTATAATATAGTTCATTAGAAAAGAGATTATGAATTTTAGTTTACATTGCATTAATCAAAACCCTAAAATTGCAATAACCAAACTCCTCTTTTATTTCAATAGACTATGTCAGGAATTGTATCATCGGGAAAGGAGCAGACTATAAAGGAACAATATCTGTTACTAAAAGTGGTATCCAGTGTCAGGCCTGGAATTCGATGATCCCCCATGAGCACAGGTAAGAGTTCAGGAGCAGAGACAATGGGAATAGTGTCGAGACAGCTTCCATAAAGCATAAGAATTTATGGGACAACTAACTTTAGACAACAAAATCTCTTAGATATTTTTCTTGCCTTTCTCCAAGAGATGCCATTCTCCAGATCCCAGAAAATCCTTACTTTCATGGGCTTTCTCCAAAGAGGTCTCTTTTAATGCCAGCCTGTGTGTCTGTATCCCTTCCTTTCCTGTGTCAGTGTTTTTAGCTGTTTATATCCTTTTGATCTCTTAGTTACTGACAGGAACAAAACATCTGCATAACTTCAGCCTGGGGTCTGGAAGTTTATCACAATTTTCTAATCGACTCCCAGGGAATGAGCAATTTTAAAAACTCCATTATTAAGAAGTGGGGGATAGCCCACCTATTTGTTTAGTATATAGTTGTTGTTACTATTATTTGTATAGTTGTTGTTAATTCTCTTTTATTTGTTGAATACATTAAACTCTATAGAGCACTTAGGCCAGGCAACAAATACATGGAAAGGACTAAAGAGACTATTGAAATCCTTTCCTTCACATCATACTGGCAATAACTAAAGACTGATGCAGCAGGTAAAGGACTTAACTTTTCAGTGAAAAACTGAGGCCAAATCTACATCTTGAGAGTAAAGCTCATTAGACTCCATTATCTAAAGAAAGGAGAAGAAAGCCAAAATGTGAAACCAGTAAGAATAATGGTAGAAGTAGAGTCATCCACAACAAACAATGCTGGAGACTAGGTAAAGGACTATGAAGTACTGGTCTACTCTTTGACCATTTCTCTTTGAACCTTTTTGTACTGGCTTTAGCCATTTAGACAATAAAACTTTAAGAGACAAAACTAAAATGTCCTCTCACCCATAAGCTTCCTGTCTATGTTGCTGCCTTTTGCTCCAGACTCCCAGCATCAGCACTTTTTTTAGGAGAAACCAAACTGGATATTGCTAATGAGGAACTGGGCTGAGGAACTGCTCAGTCCTGTCCTGACCAAATCAATCCAGAGTACAAGATGATATCTTGGAACAACATGAAAAGGCAAAGGATACTTGGTTCTCTCCTCTTATGATGTGTTACAAAGCTGAGCCTCAGGCTTGGACTTACTGGACTTGGCTGCTTACAGTATCGATGGTAGTGTGTCTGATTTTCAGAGTGGGGCCAGACCTGTTCTTGGCTGGGAGCATATCATAAATATCACCAGGTCCCACAGCAGTGACCTTTTGAGACTTAACACCTTGAAGTATACAATCCTCATCTTTCAAAAGGGAAAGAATTCTAAATAATTACAAACTAAGCAAGAATGAGCATTTATTCTATGTAATATACATATGACTTTATATAATTAGAGAAAGGAAAGTGTCTTTATAGTGCACATTGTCACTGAATTGCATTTTAATACACAGTATACAGTTTTATCACATTTGGACAGCCACTCTTCTATGATGAATTTTATGAGAATGATTTTTCTCCTGCCTTGTGCAATAAGTTTAATTTTTTAAAGGTCATCGGATAAATGAGGTGACTGCGTGCTAATTTTGTTTTTCAACATCAGAAAATATGATTTCATCATCAGAGACATGAGGGAGATGGGAAGAAGCAGACAGTAGTGGTGTGTTTGGAACTTATTAGTACAAAAGGCTTAGATTTTTAGGTCAGTTTTTCTCAACATCTGATTATCACAATGTGCCATTGTAAAATAAATCCCCATTTCATATTTAAAGGAGAATGTACTTTAATGATTTTTAATTATCTTTCTAGACAGAATAGAAATAACTACAGACTAAAGTTGTGCTTGAATTCGATGAGTCATATTTTTATTGATTTGTATTCCAGTAGAACGCAGAGACTCCCAGCAAAACCCAGGGTTCTATTATTTTCATCTCCATCATAGTACAGAGTGCAGGACTCTTAGAGAGTATTAAATGGATAAACCCAATGTAAAAAGGGCTCAAAGAAAAATGGTCAAAGAGTAGACCAGTGCTTCACAGGCTTTTGGCTAATTTCCATGACTTTTGTGTGGTTGAATCTGTTTTTACCATTACTCCTACTGGCTTCAGTTTTTTGGCTTTTTTTCTTTTTTCCTTACCTAATGTAGTTGAACTAAATCATCAAACAATTTTAGGAGTGGCCCTTTCTTCCATTTCTGGACTGGCCTTCACTGCAACTCATCTTTTCCTCTCTCAAGAACATTGTTTCAGTACCTGTCGAAACCATTTGTTTATCTGACTCATCTTATGTTTTTAAGGCTATTCATTTAGACTTTTTTTTTTAATGTTCTTATAGCATATCTGATACAATTTGAGATGCCTTTTCCCTATATTTTCTTATGTCCATAATTTCTGAGCAGAAGAGTTAAATAAAATGATCTTGTATGCACTGACATACTACTTTAAAACATTTGCAGGTTGGAATATCCTATCAGAAACGTTTCCCCAGGGCTGTCTTTAACTAAAAAACATTTAAGATATTTATATTACAAGACCAGAGAGGAAAAACAGAAGCAATAATTTTATAGGCAGCAGTAATGACACAAAATTATTCTTTTAAAGCACCAAAATAAAAAAAAATAAAAAACCCTCTTTTATGTAATGCTTCCACATTATATTGGCTAGAACCACAATGTGATTAACAGAGGTATTTTTCAACTCAGTTAGTTCAAATATTTCATTAACAGGAATAAAACATGATTAAAATGTCACATGTCCAATTTTTCTTAAATTTAATAACTTAAATATACTGACAGCAAAAAAATGAAACAAATCTTAGAAAACTCAAAAAGTAAATCATTTAACTAATTCAGTTACAACTTTTGTGTGATCCCCTATGCGGTTTGCCTAGCATTTCAATTAACAAAAAATCTTCATGGAACAGATCACAACTCTGAATTTAAGGTGTTTTCTAGCTACAGAGATTTAGCTGCAGTTTAAGCATCACTGCAGTGAAACTGGCAGTGAAATGCCACTGGATTTGTCTGCAACGTGCAGCCTGAGTGTGGTCGTGACCTGTTGCAGTGGCATTGAACAGACCAGTCTGGGGTTTGGTTCCTTGCTATGGACTTAGCAGTTCCTTAGTATGAGGAGAAAATTGACTAACAATCTTTTATACATAAATATATATATAATCTATATATGTATGCCTATGTATATCTCTATATGTCAGTGTGCATGTAAGGGTTTCTCTAGAGGTAAACAAATACTTTTACAGATAGTTGGGACGACAACACCTTGCACCTGGTCAGTTTAAGTCAGCTGGGTTACTGTGAAATGTCCTAATTTATACAACAGCGTGATGAATAGGTCTATAAGTAGCAGAACCTAAGGTGACAACAGTCAGGCTCGTGGCAGAACATGAAGCAAGACAGCTTAAGTGACATCTGGGGAAATTTCTGATGCTGAAATGCAAAGCAGTCCCTGGTTTCACGCAGTGAAAGCCTCTCGGTGAGGTGTATCACACCACTCAGTCACACTCACATGCTCCTGATGAGCAGTTCTAGCTGCTGCCTGAGCAGGGATGCAAAGAGGTTTCTCTGCTTGTGGACTTTTTAGTCTAAGCCCAAATGGACCAGTTGTTTGTGCCAACATGCAGAGGAAAGACAGGTCTGGCTACAGACACAATGAATTTTTCCCCTATGCACCCACAGTTCACGAAGGAGAACACAGGGATGGCTGGCAGGGAGTGTGTGGCTGCCTTTGGTTCTGTGGCAGATAGTTGGCTCTGGACAGCTGAGGAATGGGAATAAAACTCACTACAGCATGCTACAGGCTAGACAAATTGCCCCAGATTTAGGCCATTTAGGTTGAGTAATCCCTACTGAAGATGTGTATTTGTGCATGGACAGATGTTTGGGGGGTACATTTCTTTAGGTGGGATGGAGGGAGAAGGAAGCAGAAATGTGATTTTTTCTAACTATTTGTAAAAATAGTATGATTAACCCCAAAGTTTGCATGCTCTTATACTGTAATGATTGTCATTTTAAAACTAGCTTTTTGCCTTCGAGCTATCGGGGAAAAGACCTGAGGGAAAACTACTGCCGAAACCCCCGAGGGGAAGAGGGAGGCCCGTGGTGTTTCACCACCAGTCCAGAGGTGCGCCACGAAGTCTGTGACATCCCCCTCTGCTCAGAAGGTAACCTGGCATGACTTCTGCAGAAAGTTGCTTTTGCTCTGCTGACAGCAGCTGCATGGAACTTCCAGTAGACACTTGCTTGTGGCCTTTGGATAAAGAATAGGTGATTTCTCAGCAAGAATAATTCACATAGCAAGAAAAGGAGGTATTAAGAGAAAGAGAAGTTCTTGTATGTTCCAGTACACTGGAATATTTGAACAAGGTTTCAGGCTCAGCAGCTTTTTTCAGGTCATGGAGGAGCTTGAACAATGTAATTGTGCTGATCACACAAATGTGATTTGCTTGTCTAGTCCATAGTGAATCCATTACGGTCTCAGTATTACTATGTGATAAAATCATCTAGTTCCATTCCACGGTAAAATCAGCTTTTCCTCTTCTTTTTGATGAAAATTTAGATACTGAATTACAGGATGAAAGCTCAAGATAAGTATGCCCTTTATTTTTCAAATAAATACTGTAAATAAATGTAACTATAAATCCAATCCCATTTGACTTTCAAGTCACAGAATTTGAAAGACAATTCATGTGCACCATTGCATTTGTTGACTTTTAAGTTCTGTTAACCTCCAAACTAAGCTCTTATATCTTGCTAATCAACCAATTCAGTTCCAGTCAATCAACTCATTTAAATCCTCAAGATATGATGCCTTTAATTTTCCTGCTAATGTGTCACATGGAATAGCTGTGGTGTTGTGGAGGAATTAAAAGGAGAGGGAGGGAGAGAGGGAGAGAAGGGGGAAGCAAATAATTCACAAGGAGCTTGAAAATCTATTAAAGCCTAACCTTTAAATATAAATTTAAATGAACTTCAAATGGCATAATACTTGGAGCTCACTGCAGGATGAAGACTTTGGTAGCGGATGTTATGACTGAAGAGTGAGATCTGTAAATGCATAAAACAGTATTTTCTAAGTGATCCTTCTTTAAAATTACTCTAATTAGGGAGTAATTGAAAAGTTTGTCTACAGTTAGTTATGATGAATTTATTTTATATTTTCAGACTTCTAAATCTAAATTTTGTTCAACAGCGGTTTCAAATCCCTTTGATGGTTTTTACCCATTCTCCCTCTACCCCCCTCCACCTTCCCAAACCAGGGCTGAAAATCTATCTTAGTGTAAGCTGCCAAAAAGAATTATCACCGAAAAGAAACAGTATCAAGTGTAGCTGAAAGGACTGGGAATTTAAAATATATACTGTACTGCACTGAAATTGGGATTCAGCCATTATTCTGCACTTAAACTTGTGCTGTAATTATAGTAGACTTAGAGTGATTTGAAATAATGGATGATACTTAATTGGAAAATACCACCTTTAAAAAATACTTCTTCCTTAGATATGTGCCTCTTTCTGCTACTAACCATAAGTAAGATTAAAAATCTTTTAGGAACATGAATGCGTCTAGCAGCTGACCCCTACCTGCCTCAAAACTGTAAGTGTTCTATAAAGTGATATCACATTTATGCTCATGGATTAGATCTAAGAAAGAGATGTTATTCTATTCCAAAGGGTATTACCCACACCAACTCACAAAAAGGTATCATTTTTTTATACCTCTTCAGTTTGGTTTCAATACACAAGAGCAGGGATGCGACTTATTTCTTTTTAACTTTCTTTTTTTGTGGTGCAAGTCATCAGTGTAATAAATGACTAGTGTCTACTTTTTTTTTTCCTAGTTGAATGCATGACCTGCAATGGAGAGAATTACAGAGGGCCAATGGATCACACCGAGACGGGCAAGGAGTGTCAGCGCTGGGATCTTCAGAGACCACACAAGCACAAATTTCGACCAGAGAGGTAACCTCTCCCCCCTCCCCAAGCAAGACCATGTGGTCATAATTTGAAAATTGCACACATTCTGGAAACAGCTGAGCAAAACTAGCATGAGCTCAACTGAAATTTATGGATGTCACCAGTTTTAGATGTTTGGGCTTCTGGTCCACAGTGTAGGCTGACTACTGTCACAATGGAAATGCAGGATGGGGACTAGAGGCTGTTTTGTGCAGTTGTGACTACATCCCATGCCAGTTTAGTGTAGTGATGTTCATGTGCTGCATTAATTGATCAAAATTAACTTCATTGACACTAAAAAATTAACCCCTGAATGTTTCTGTATATATTGATTTGCAGCTTTAGTGAGCTTAAAATACCTTAAAGTCACCGCAAAGTAAATAATGATTAAAAGTCATAAATTTTTGTTAGACTTCTTGACACAATTGTGAATATAAACTTGCAATATCGTCAAGTAACATTATCCTCCTTTTTGAGATATTGAATAGCCTTAAAGCTGTGGATGATCTGTTATAATCACATTTAAGTACCCAATTGGTTTGAACAAAATATTTGCTCACTGCATATGTTTTTGCAGCCTGGGAAAGGAGTTCATTGCTCTGTTTAGTATTTTATGACTGTGGATTTCTATCTTAGACTTTTTTCTTTTTTTTTTTTTTAATTTAGACATGAATGCATAATGCCAAAAGTTGAGTCAGAAATACAAAGACAAATTTCATCCCTGTTAGGGTTTGTCCTAGAGGGCAAAATTCGCCCGACCACAAATGGTCATCTATAATACACCCTTCTGGAAGGATTTTGGGGCATGGGCGTGGGTGGGGGTTAGGCCACATAGGAAGGCTTCTGTGATCATCTAAACTGGACTACAGTTTCATTTTAGTTTTATTCTGGATTTTGGATTAACTCCATTTATAAATTGGATTAAATAAATTTAAACTGCCAGAGGAAGACTGCAAGAATCAAAAAACCCAGAATGATTAAGATCTTTCACTGAAAGGATCTTTATATTTGTTAAAGTGTTTCACTAAATAAAGCATTATTTTTATACTCAGAAATGTGAATAGTACTTGATTTTAGAAAGCCTGATCATTCAGCAAAACATTAAGGATCTGAAGTTTTGGAGTTTATGTGATATAACCTCTTTTCTCCCTTGGGTGGGATGATCTGCTTCATGAATAATAGCAGGCATCCCACAGCTCTGCTGCAATAAATATTTTGTATTAGCAGACTGGGACTGAAGATAATCTGAGTTTTGCCATGCACTTACTGTGCATTCTAGAACATGTCACTGAAAGAGTTTTGTTCCTTGGGAGTGAAACATTTGTAGAACTTCTGGGTACAAATAATAACAATTTTACTATCAGGAGGAAATTTATTTTTTTCCATTAATTTCTAATTGTTTGCAAAATGACTTTTCAGACTAACAGCAGTCTTACGAACAATTGCCTTCCTCCTTGAACTATTTCCTTCAGAAAACATCGTCTTGAGAGTTTTCAGACTGTAATAAAAGTGGGGGTTTTTATCAAAAAGACACCCATCCAGATTTAATTGATTTGTATGAGCTTGAAGAGTAATGAGGCCCAATGCATTTCTAACACACTGGTGTTAATCACCTTCATGGAACAGTCACTAAAGGTAGTAACAATTATACTTTGATTATACTAGATTTTAAAAAGGTTGTGGGATTTGCTTTGTGCTTTTTTTTTTTTTAATGGTCACATAAATTAAAAATAAGAGAAGAGGTTTGGAACAAATGATTCATTAAAACACAGCAATCTCTACTGACATTTATAATATATCATCCTGGTGTAATGTGAATAACTTGGAAACCAGGAAGGACAATCTGGGTAGATTTAAACCTATTTTCATTCATGGCTTCACCAGTTGCAACTATGAAGAAAAGGAAATAAAACTAGTAGTCATTTAAATGCTCCAGTCTACCTGCTGTTGGACAATGCTTTCAGCTCAGGGTGAATAAATCTCACTTTTGTTTTTTGTCACCTCAGTGAGTTGTTCCACATTCCTTCCCCTCAGAGGTCAGTTCCTGACCAGAATTGATAACCAACCCTTGCTTACTCAGATTTGATTGAAGTTAGCAGAAGGAACCCCCCAAACAACTCCTGCATGACCCATTTTTAGCTATTAGTAGATGCAGAATTGTATTCTAAAGCTCCAGTTCTTTTGTGTACTCCTCACAGGCACCATGGAAGGAAGACTGTTGAGGGTAATGACTTAGGCATAGAGCAGTGTAGAGGGGAAAAATTTTTCTCCTTCTCTGCTTGTATTTTCTGCTCAAATATGTTGTGAAAATACTTATTATAAGGAGGAAAGTAGGGTTGAAGTGTAGCATAAGAGATGAACAACTACAGGAATTCTTTTACTAATACCCTGGTTTATATCTCTTATATGAAAATTTATTTTATACAAAATCAAGTTTCCAAGTTTCTTTTAAAAAAAAAAAAGAAAGGGAAAATAAATATTGGTGAAGAGCTTTAGATACTAAATTTAAGTTCCAGGATAGCTAGAGATCAGCATCTGTCTCTTTAAAAAGAATAAATATTATCTCTTTGACTAATACTCTCCTCTCTCTCTAGAAACTGAGAAAAAGTCTTGATTTTGACACCAGATGTGTATCTTGATCCTTCATTTCAGTTTAATAAATGAAGTACAGCTACTGCTGTTTCAAGGGGGAAAAATGTAAAATATGTAGAGTTCTGAAAGATCTCTGAAACCTCAGGCTGTTTGTTAGGTTTAAGCAAGGAGACTGTGTCCAATGTACTTGGGAAGGAGGAGTGTACAGAGCAAAGGGACTAGCTGTCAGGGAATCCTCCATAGCCTCACTATGGAATTGTGTGGAACAATTTGAAGTCCTGTTGTTGTTTATCTAACATTTATGTCTTAAAGGTGTTAGTTTGGCTTTTTTTGTAGGAATTGTTGCTTACTGGATATGAAGGAAGGCAGAAGCATGTCTGAATATTGTGGAAAGACACTTGTATTCTAGAAAGTGGATCCTTTACATCCCCATTTGTTTCCTGGACTCATCTTGGTCCTTAGGCAGTGACATGAACTCTCCATGCTACTTGACACGGAACATGTTCTACCAACATCAAAGCTCATCACTGCATCTAGTGGGTGGCCAAAGTCATCTTGTTTTCTACTGTATTCTTAGCCTGTTAACTGCTTCCTAATGAAATTCTTGGACACAATTTGTTCCTTTACAGTTCGTCTTTTACCTAGCAGAAAACAGAGTACTATTGCTAGATCCGAAACTACCACATTCTTGACTGCCATTGAATTCTCAGTTTGGTGAGGTTTCTCCTTGCTGTTTTTTTTTGTAATTTTTTTTTTTTTTGTAATTCTACTTAAATCCTGTCCCTGTCCCTTGTATAGTTGAAGGAACCCAACTTTCCTAAGAAATGGGAGCTCAAGTTGCAAATACATGAGTCAGAATTAGCATGAACATTTGACATAAAAAGCATCCTAGCAAAGACACGCACTTGTAAATCATATTTTCCTCTGCTTCTGTGAAACACATCTGCTTGCAGTTGTAAATGGATTCAAGTTCCCAGGTAGTTAACTTTATTGTTCTCTTACATACTTTTCATGATTCCCTCAGGGGCAAATCTACTTTTTGTTTCTCTTACTAACACATTTCAATAAAATTGGAAAGCCAAGACAATTTTTATTCACTAGAGAAAAAAAAAAAGGATTCATTTATCTCCTTCTCTTTAAGTTTACAGATGTTAGCATCGCACATTTATGCAAAAAGCCCCTTCTCATCTTGACTATCTCTCTGACCGTTCAATAATGGCAGCAGGAATGTGGAAACACTTAAATAGCACAATAGTATCAAATCTTAATGAGATAAAGTGAGACAGAAGTTAATTCCTTATTTTTCTTCTTCTTTCCCCCAGTGCTTGAAATGAGGGCATGACCAAGAATGAGCTCTGTTACAAAAATGGATCACTAGTAACATTGCTACTCAAAACAGCTTCCAGTTTGAACCCAGGGCTGTTGCACTGAAGAACCTGTTTTGTTAATGAGTCCAGCATGGCAGAGAGTGTTTATATAATCCACACTTAATTGGACTGTTTAAAAAAAATGAGAGGCTTCAGTGTCTGATCATCAGTTGACAGACACAAGAGCAAGAATTTAGCAATTAGCAGAGTTACCCCATCCGGTACCCTGTGCATTAGCACAGTAGGGAATCCCCTTAGTGGAGATCTGATTCTGCTGTATATTTGGAAAGTGTTTATAAGTTATTAGCTTTCTAGCAGTATTAAAAGAGTTGCATCCATCTTACATAATCAGACCCCAGGTTAATAGGAATTGGTTCTTGTTTGCCTCTGCTGAAGTCTGTCCTTTAAGTACCTTGTAGAAACCTGTGCAGTGTTGCCAGGAAGACTTCCTTGACACGTTTCTCATTGTGGTTTACAGATATCCTGACAAGGGCTTTGATGATAATTACTGCCGCAATCCCGATGGCAAGCTGAGACCATGGTGCTACACTCTTGACCCTAACACCCCCTGGGAGTTCTGTGCAATTAAAACGTGTGGTGAGTTCAAGCAAAATTTATTACTTCCTTTTCCTTTCCAAAATCTGGACACAGATATTTCAAGCAGCATAGGACCACCGCTAGTTCGTTCATTGCCCTTCGCTGGCTTTTAAAATATAGCTTTCAAAGAGGGTCTCCTATAAACCTTTTCTGTTTAATCTGGACAGGAAAGAAGAGTTGTGCATTACTTACCACTGGAATATGTGTAAATCTTACATACTGGAAATTGCAATAAAATGTAGGAAAATCAAGAAACAAAAAAAGAGGGGCAACAAAATCATGGAGATTTCATGTACATTCTTACTTTGACCATGCTGGGCATTTGCATCATCATTTGGGAGTAGCTGCATATACACACCATCCCTACTCAGAGTTCTCTGCCAACAACTCTTCACTGCTTTGCAGTTCTAGGCCTTGGGTCCTGCACACTATCCACCCTTGTGCTGAACACAGAATTATTAATTTCCCCATGGGTTTTTCTCTGATATTCAGCACTCCATATCAAAGCACTCCTCAGGCAATTAATTTCTTTTCATCCGTTAGCTACAAGATGGTGGCATTTGTTATCCTTACTTTACAGACAGAGAATTGAATCAAAATGACATTAAGGTATACAAATATTAGATGTCCTCTTTGAGATGCTTTTGTTCAACATTTTCAGAGCATCCTACAGCATGCTCTATCTTCAAAGCCCCGATCATCTTAACTTTCATGATAGCTCTGACAGCTCTGTTCACTGATAATTAGATGTTAAATAGATAATTAGAGTTGTGCAGGAAAAATAAGAAAGTTAACACTATTGGACCTCTCTTGAAAACATTTCTAGACTTTCATGGTAATGCTGTTGCTAAGGCAGATGGTAGAATTCAGTTTTGTTGAGACATGCTTTAATCAGGAAACCAGAATTTACATCCCTGAAATTCCTTGCCTCATTCACAGCTTATGGATCCTACAGGTGATAATATCCTATCTTATCTCACATAATTCTCATTGGTATATTTAGGGGCCATTATTTTGCCCCTAGTGAATGGATAACATTTGAAATAATGTGCAAGTATCATATTAATGGCAGTTTCTTCATACTTAAACTTTTTTTTTTTATTCCTTTTACTCAAAATTCTTTATTTATAACATCATGGGAACAAAGACAATTTCTTTAAACAAGGCATAGCTTTAACTGAACCCATACTGTGGAAATCTTTCAACTTCATGTGCCCCAACCCTGTGGCAGAGCCCCCCAGGAAAACAAGCAGAAAAGGGAAAACAGTATTTTTGGATTTTCCATGAAGTGGAGGCAAAATGAAGCTTCTAAAACTTCTCAGTCAAACTCAGTGTCATATTAGCTCATGAGAAAGTCAGTTTTTCTTAGATCTGCAGTTTGAAACTACAATTTATATTGTTGTCCTGCTTGAACTTTGATCAAAATGAAGTGTTAAAAAATTGTCCTCGAAACCAGACCCTCTCCTTTTCATCTAGCTCTAAGTGTCACTTCAGTAGGCTCATTGTAAAATTAATTTGTCTCTCTTAGGAGGAGGGTAGAAGAAGAGAATAGAATCAACTGAAAAGAACAATAAAGCTCACCTGAAAGTGGCTTAATGTGAGAATTCAAAAAGTGAAAAAAAAATCTCAAGCACAAAAGGAGTGATTTTTAATAACTGTGTAATTTTCAAGGTTCTCTATATTTTGTTGCTGATGATATATATATCAAGATAACCCATTACTGGGGTCTCTAAAATCCAGGTAAAATAGAGACAGCAGGAGTCTGACAAAAATCTGTTTCCATAATGTAATCTCTATTTTCCCTATGATGTTAGCACATATATAAATACTGAGGCAGGCAGGAGGGGAAGAGGTAATGGCTACAGCATGAAGCTGTGTATGTGAGCAGTTGTTATCTAAAGGAGGAAACACGGCATTCTTCATCTTCACTTAGGATTCTTGCAAAAAAAAATTATGCTGTGTTTTCTGCTTCCACCACCAGTAATTCAGAATTTTCTCTCCTTGGTTGTTCTTAGCTTAGACCAGTCTAATGTCTTGGAGATTCAGTCACTTCTAATCAATTCATCAATTTTTTAAATCCAAGGGTTGAGTAAGAATACTCTTAATGTACTTCCAGATGCAGAGTAATTGAGCTTATTCATAAGGCATTATAAATCCAGTATAAGGTAGTTACATTATCAAAATTATTCCACTGTAAAAAAAGGTGAGGATAATTTGCTACTTTGGGCAATGTCTGTAATCAGGTTTTCTAGAGACAGAAGGAACTTAACAGGACAACTGCTTGTTTTGGGTCAGGCATCCATGAAGTCACACCCATATTGAAATTCTTACCTATGAACTACAGTACTAGTTCATGTCATTATATTGAGACTTACTGATAATCTTTAATAATAGGGGAAGCTAAGTCTATCCCCTTTGTGAACACAGGCTTGCTTAGCTATACAACTGAATCATCTTTCAATTTTTTACTTAATCCATTAATTTAGGAGCTGTTGCTCTGGATTTTTGGCTCGTGTTGGTCTGGGTTTTGTTTTGTTTTGTTTTGTGGTTTTTTTAAAAACTAAACTGTGCTTCCTACACTTCTTCAGTTATTAGATAACGTATGAATCATGTGTAGCATACTAGATCTGTTCTTTTCCCCTGCTGGATATGTTTTTATTATGAAAGAAAAATATTCCTCCGTTACAGCTGACTGTTTCACAAATGCAACTTTTATAAACCTTTATCCTTTGGCATTTCCTGAGCTGATGTGTCAGTGTTCTGAGGATTCACATCTGGCTTTGTTGGTCACGTAAACTTACAGTCCATGCAACTTTCAGTATCTCCAGTCTGACCAAAGCTTTATAAAATAGTTGGGTGGGAGATCTCCTGCAAATTACTGGATTATTATCACCTCTGTCTACCAAATCACAGTTAAAGTCCTTAATAGAAGGTAAAGATCATAATGAAATTTAAAAACAAAACCCACAGTGAAATTATTTTAATGTTGTGATGAAAGTCTTTGGTCTTGTATCTAGACAAAAGTTGACTGAAGTAATTAGAAATTCTTTCTTTTATCTTCAGTTAGAAAATATATTAAAATCAGTGGAAATTTCCCATATGAAATTGCATTTTCACTGTAGAAAATTGTGTATTTTTGTAAATTAATAAGGCAATCTATTTGAGAAGTATACAAAAGTAGTAGTCTTGAAAGTGCTTAATCCAGCAGGTATTTTCAAGGAATGTTTCGGACAGGCATATGGCACTGCCCTCTACATAAGATGCAATGCTGCTCAGTGCTTTCTTTTATAACCCAGAGAGGGAATTTATTGCTGATACTATTGTTGTATCAACAACTCAATGGCCAGAACATCAACACAAAATATCTAAACCCTGTTTTCAGTTTTCTGTCTTTTTTGAGACACATAGAAAAACTCTTTTCCCACCTCCTAGCAGGGAGCCCAAAACACTTGGCTATTCTTAGTTTCGGTGGCTGCTCTGTGTTTCTGAAGCTGTGGCTGTTTGCAATCTCAGTACACTAAAAAGAGAACATCATAAGTTATAGGTCTTTATAGCTTTGTGGTTTGGATTCTCACACAGGTTTTTAATTCCTTTGCTGAGGACTGTTTATTTAATTTACAAGAAATTCTAATTAGGAAAAATGCTTTGCAAATCCGAGTTCTTGGACCGTATACAAAAATGTAGGTGTCCTCTCTTTGGGGGAGTGACCACAAGGCAGCATGCTGCTTGTGGCTTTTGCTACATGTCATAAGGGCTGGTATACTCTATAGCCAAAATGCTGACAACAGCTCATATACAAAATTTTCAGCAAAAAAGTCAGTGGAAGGAAGCATTTAGAAAATAAATATGGTTTTAAAACTGAAGAGAGAGAGGGCATTGTAATTTTACTTCCAAGCACAGAATGCAGCATAAAACATTGTGGCTTACAGCCAGGGCTGTGAGAAAGAGATGACAGGAACAATTAGGAATTAGAGATGGCTCAAGCTGCAAAAACTGGATTTGGATTAAGACTTCAGGGACCTCAGGACTGGTTTGAAGTTGCTCACATATGTGTCTGTGGTTTTGGCTCGAGACAATTTTTAGTTAGAAGAGAGGATAAAAGGACAACTAACAGCAATGAAGAAGTGTAGGATGAAATGAAGAAATGGAAGTAGTGACAGCAAACATGAAAAAAGAAAATGACTTATTATGGCATGAATGAGGACATGAACTACAGGGAAGACAGGAGCAGGGAACTAATGCTACTTTAAAATAATAATAAAAAAATGGATAACAGCTCTTCTCTGGATGCATTATAAGGGTATAAGAGAGATGCTGAGGTGCAGAAATGAAACTGCTTGTGTCAGTCATTTAAGAGCTTCAGAGTTACATGGAATTATTAAGGACAGTGTACTGTTGATGCCTATCTGATTTCCAATCAACCCAGATGTCTTGACTATGGATTTAGCCTTTGCTGTCAGTATTCATAGACAATAGACAGGAGTGACTGAGGCTTGAAAAGCCTTGAGAGAATTCAATAAAGGTCTAAGTTTGATGGGAAAGAACAGCAGATGAAACAGCAAAATTGAGACTCTAGGTTGTAAAATGAACCATTGCAGCGTGCCTATAACTTTTGGGAAGGCAAAATACTCACCAGTATTAAATTACTCATTCTTTAGAAAGAGATTTCAACTGCCCATTTGAATGGGAATTTCTGAATAAAAAGTTATTTGTTGAATGTATGTATGTAAACAAATAAAAGTCACACTCAGTTTAATCTTAATATTTGTATAAGATAAAGATTTTTATAGAAAGGGGGCAGTGAAAAGAGACTGATATTTAGTAGATGATAAAGTGTTACCTTCTATTTTGCTTCACACAGAAACATAGAATAGGTCCAACATTCACTGTTTATTCATCAGCTTAATCTACATTCCCTCAAAAAGTATCCATCTCAAATCCTTTTCATCATTTCTATGATAGTTTTTAAAGTGAGATTTAAGAACTCTAAACCTGAGGGGATCCATTTTTACTATTTTTTTTAAAATGTATTTAAAATAAAAATTGTTTGGACTTAAAGTCTTCCTGTAGACATTGAAGCTACCTGGAAAGATCTCTCTCTGCTCAAGAACAAATGAACTGTACATGTGAAGATTTTAGGTGCAGGGTTTAGGTGACAATGAGTTCTTCAGTATTGTGATTCTTGACCTTGGCTTTAATTGATTTCTTCACTTTCTCATTTGTTTTTACTGAAAAAAAGCAAAACACTAGAAATCAGTGGGTGGGTCTTCCACATCTTTTTTGATTGTGAGATAGTACACTGAAGAAAATATGGAAAGGAAGGAACTGACAGTAACCTAATGTCCAGAATTGTAGATGCCATTGCTTGAGGTAGGGATGCCTGCAGGTAATACAACTGAGAATGACCAGCTTCATAACATCCCTCAACTTACTTAGTGACATTTGTAGAATTGCATGGATCATGTTTAAAATCTACTTTTTAAAATATTTTTTTGCTAATCGGGGCACATTTTCTTTCTACCGACTGACGCTGTAGAAAAGACATTACATGAATATAAGCAAAAGAAGGTATTTTCCTCATGATGTGATTTAGGATCCTGCTTATTTTCCAGCAATGTCTTTTCCCAAAAATACATAGATTGTATTGCAATGAAAAAACATGAATTCTCCAGTAATATCTCTATCTTCTTTTAAGTCAGTAGAAGTTTCACCATTGACCTAAAATTTGTGCAGGATTTTCTTCTGGGTCACTGGGATTAAAGACAGAAATAGTACTCTAACTGGTTACTTCAGCTGTCGAATGACTCAAGGCCCCTGCTGATCCCTCATGCTGGTGTTACTGTGAGAACCAGAACTGAGAAGACTGTCTGTGGCTTTACACATGAAACTCTGGATAATGTTTCATTTTTTTTACTTAAGCTTCTATGAATGCACGAGCTGGCCCTTTTTAATAAAGCTATGTATTTTGAAGTATCAAAATAGGGAGGGTTTTATGGAAAAAGGATACCTTTGCATAATTGCACTTTGGTTGAGGACTTCAGAGTAAACATGTGGAGGTGGAAATACTACTAATGGGAAATCCCGTCATGTAGCTGACTGAATTACATGGTTAAATCTTAGTCATCCAGAATTAGAAAAAAAAAACAAACCACAAAGTTCAAAAGTAGCAAAATGCTGCTGACAATTACCAAATTCTTCTGTTCATAATGAGCTTTTATACAGGAGTAAGAAGTGACATTTAATCAATAAATCATAAATAGTAGTCTTTCATAAGATGATACGTTGTGTGTTCTTCCTTTAACAGTACTTTTAATCTCGATTCAGAACTATAAAAGTTGAACTGAAGCAAAAAAATCCTGGGAACTTATATTATGAAATATTAGTAAGTAGTACAAATAAGGATTGCTTATTGATTTTAAATTAATCTAGCTTAATTCATAATGTCTTTCTCATTGGAACAAGCCCTTGGTTTGCAGATCTTGATTTATATTTTAGAGGAATTGCTGGGATAAGGATAGGAATTCAGCTTTATGGATTTTTATCTTGATCTCGATTTTGCCTTGTAAGAGAGCTGTGATTGTGGTCTCAGGGCTCTTTCACCAGTGCTCTGCATATCTGATGTTCATGCTCAGAATTATTAAACTTTAGATAATTGGCTATGTGGATGATGAGTAATTAGCCTCAAGGACAAACCAATAGTGAATGGAGATGACTATATAAGTTGTAGGCTTGGACAACCTGGGCACTGCCTTATAGTCTGCAGAGCCCCTCTGTAATGCCTGGTGAGGCAGGCACTGCTCCTCAAGCTCTTGCATGTTCCTGTGCACATCCAGCCCAACTTTCATTAACAGGAACAGGGAGACTGTTCCCATCATGACTGTTTGAGGAAACCACCAGCTGAATGAAGGATTTCTCGAGCCTTTATTGGTAAGTTTTGAGTTTTCTGTGAGACTCAATAACCAGAAAGGGAATTGCTTCAGAAATACATTTCACAAATATTTTGAAGTCTCATTTTTCATGTTTTAAAATGAGACACTTGTAGGAAATGCAGGTGGTACAGCAAGAAGAGTTTGGGGAGGGGTTTGTGGACCTTTTGGAATGAAGGAACTGCTGTATTAATCAAAATGAGAATATTCTAGCAATCCTTTTCATCACTGGAATTCTAATTGAGAGCTGCCACAAAGCAGCAGCAGATAATCACGTTGTAGATTTTGAAATAATTTCTCTCTTAGTCATTATAATGTAAGTCTTTCCTGAGGTGACGTGGCTGTGCAAGTATTCATGACAATGTGAAAATTAAGTTTGCCTGGTGCCTTTATATAGGACATTTTGACATGGACAAACTGTACAATCTGATCTACAGATAGAGGTCACTGTCCAGACATGCAGTGTAAGGTTTGACAATAAGCTGTGCATCTGTCAATGTACAAGCAGGAATGCTCTACAAAGTGACTATGGTCTTACTTAAATCAATTGGTTCATTACTTACTTAATTTCACGCACGAGATTTGAAAAACCCAGACCCACACAATGATATCTAAACACCAACCCAATTACTTTTTCACTAGTATGACTGAGTACACAGCAGATGTATTATATAGTTCATTACAGTTGAAATAGTAACTTCTGGTGCATACAACACTTCTGGTATTTGCAACAGCTTTTATTAGGTTGATTTTTTGTTGTACCTTATTAGTAGTATTATTTAAGAAGACTTTTTGCTAGAGTTATGTAGTTATAGTTTATTAATTTACTTACAAAATAATATGAAAACAGGATTTATGCTGAAATTTCTCATATTAAGAAACTCTTCCTCCCCAGGTTATTCACTACATCTCTTACATTTGCATGTATTTTTTGAAAAGACTAATATATATTTGAATGTGGCATAGCAATGTCCCCTCCAATCAGTTTAGGAGCTATTTTAGAATATAATTCCAATATGTTTCATATATTATTTATGATGGAAAACTGAAATATGCATCTATTTATTTCTATTAGTTGTATGAATTCATCTCTTTGTAGTTCAATTATTTAAAAAGTAATCTATAAAAACTAAAAATATAGTTACTAGCTGCAAGTCTATTTGATGAATCCACTAGAAAGAGCATATTTGTCAGCCTGCAGAAACCTACTTGTGATACTTGCAATGCCACATCCTTTTGACTTTGGAATGAGCTTGGAACTCACAATCACATTGAAACAGGACAACATTTGGAGAAAAAGTGCCTTGGGAAGGAAGGACAGGAAATGAATTTGGCCATGAAATACTGGTTTGAAAACATCAACCAGATGAAGAGAAAAAGGGATGCGTGGATAAATGTATAATTCAACTGCACAACTTGATGTTATCATTTGACAGGAAAGTGATCTTTAACATCAAAGATCAGTCAGCAAATCAGCCAAAACCATCTGTTATGACATTTGGTTTCCTTAAGATCCATATTCTCTCTAAGTTCATAGAACTGGCTCAAGTTACCAGGAGTGAAGTATATTATGAATAACACACAAATATTTTGTATTCACTGGACCATTTGAAGAAAACTAGTTAAAAAACTTTATTAACATACTTATTGTGAGCAACTAATACTTTTAAAGTAATTTATAAAATTAGTCTTGTGAATAATATAAATTACCAACAAATGGGCAGTTACTTACAGAAATATTGTATTGGGAACCTTTGGGGACATTGTAGAAGTGTTGCTCTCACTGCAGGGTATTTTGTTTTGTACTGCTTCGTATATATCTGATGCAATATCTGTGCCATTAATTTGCAATTATGAAAATTGCATAAGAAATAAAAAGAGACTTTCAAGTTATGTGAATGAGTCATTTGAAAACCACTGTTTTTCTGAATTTAGTTCAAGACAGCCCACACCAGGGTGAGTACAGAGTATATCAACATCTGTAAAAGATCTTGAGTCTCTTGAATTTGTTAGTCTTTAAAGCATTTGTCTCTCTGTAGAGCATACTGATCTTTGATTTTAAAAGCTGAACTTTTTCCCCTCTTTAAACCATATGAGGCACAAAACCCCCGACACTTCAAGGAGAAGTTAGTACTTTTCTCTATAATAGGATTTATTTTTGCTTTAATTTTTTATCTGCACCTTTTTTTCTTGTGATTTGATATTCTGTGAATTCATTAGAGAAAATAAATTGTATTTTATTACTATAAATATGTATTAACATGTGTAACAGGGCACACGTGGGTGGTCACTCAGTTTTGTAAAGCTAAGCGAATGAAAAGATATTTGCTGAACAGGAAAAAGTAATCAGGAATATCTTCTGACCTTCCATGACAGAACATAGGCCAGGTGTCTCACAGAACAAAAGCTATTAAATGTTGCAGATTCTCTGCATGCAAGTGGATAAAGTAGCATAAAGTCTAGCACTTTGATTTTGTGGATGTTCTAAATATGAAGAGGAGAAAATTATTCTGTAATCACCTCAGCAATTTCACCAAAGAACTCCAATTATCATGATTTGAACTGCAAAGAAGAGTTCAAACCTGACATCCTCAGCCAGCCTTAAGAGAGTGAAATAGCATTTATTCTCTGGGTCTGCAGATGAAAGCATCATGAACAGCACAGAGGCAGCAGCTGAGACTTCAACATGCATCCAGGGCCAAGGTGAGGGTTACCGTGGCACAGTCAGCACCATATGGAGTGGAATTCAGTGCCAGAGATGGGACTCTCAGTTTCCTCACCAGCACAACATCACTCCTGAGAACTTCAAATGCAAGTGAGTAGAGATGTGTGGGTACTATCACTGCAGTGGGAAAAGAGTTTAGTTTTAAAATGTTTAAAAAGTCATACCACTGAAGTAAGCCATAGGGTCCCTGTCCCTGCTCTGCATCCTGATGCATTCACTCGACTTGCTGATGCTGAAAACCATTTGAACATGAGTTCTTCAGATCTCAAAATAGTAGTTCTAGACAAACTTGTGTGAAACCCTAGGGGTTTTTATGAACTTTTTCTTCAAGCATGATTTTAAGTGTCTGGATGTTTTCCAGACTGAGACCTGAATCCCAATAGTGCTGGTACATTATCACCATTTTTCTTTCATGGAATTAAATACTTGTTCACACTTTGATTGCTGACTTTAACTCAATATATCCTAAATATTACCTAAATGTAAACTTCTTCTCAGTACTAACATTTATAATATTTGACAACATTTCTTTTATTTTCCATATTTTAAGTCCTTTTTCTGTCTCGTTACTAACTGTACTTGCATCAATAGGACTGCTTTCACTTGAGGGGTCACTGATCATCAAAAATTTCTGTGCAGTTCAAAAACTCCCAGGATGTGAATGATCTATTAATTTTAAACAGTTACCTTAGTAATGTTGTTTCAGTCCTTTTTTAACTGAGTATAGAAGAAACCTTGCTGACCAGCATGGAGCCACAGCTCAGTTTGTACTAAATGTCTTTACTGATGGGTAGATATCAGTAAGAATTACAGTATTAGGCCCATTCTTTCCATAGTCTGTTATCAGTAAGTGTTGTAGATGGAAAATTACAGTGAAATATGGAGATGCACAGAACATGGCAAAAACTGTCAGGAGATGGGAAAATAAAACTTACATTTAAGAGGTTTGACTATTTCATGCAAGCTGTGAAAGACATTTAAAGACGTTCCCTTGTGACTAACTTTTATTTTAAAGGTAACAGCTGTATAGAATTTCAACATATTTTTTTTTATTTTCCAAGATTCAGTTTCTTAAATGAGTCACTGATAGTCTACAGGACTCTTCTTTCTCTAAACTCAGTAGAACCATTCAAAATACAGGGAATTTTAAGCACTTTGGTAATGTTTGTATTTAAAAGCACTTGTAATGGATTGCAGGTGTATCCAATGTCAGTTGCATGCAAATTTTGATGGAGAATCCTGAATAAAAATAAGCTATATGGAAGATATTGTTAATCTTCAAGTGAAATCTTGTATCCAGTCAAAACATATGTCTGCTGAAAATAAATTCCCATGAACATATTCTTATTACAATTACTATATTTTTCTGGACACTGTGTTCTTACTGACTCCTCATCTCCTTGCACTTGACACTGATCAGTAACATAGAGACCTGAAGGAGTTTATATAATTGTTAACTCATAATAAAAAACAATGGAATGCATCAGTGGGTTTAAGTTATCCCTGCTGTGAGCTAACATATTTATTTTTATAGGGATTTGAGGGAGAACTACTGCCGAAATCCAGATGGATCTGAGTCACCCTGGTGTTTTACCACTGACCCAAACATCCGTATTGGTTATTGCTCCCAGATTCCTAAGTGCGATGTATCAAATGAACAAGGTAACAGAGGAAAGGGTGATAACGTGATTTTAAGTGAATGCTGTACTGTTCCAAACAGCAGATAGACAGGCTTGAAAGCTGGAGAAGTTGATCTGTATTACACCTGTGTGGTTCTGCTTTGGCTTTCTTTGCATACTTGGGATTCATCGTGGTGTAAATGAGATTCATTTCTCAGTTCAGTTTTCGATTCCAGCAGGGAAAGCTGCAGCAAAGACTTGCTATTGTATCTGACTTTTAGACAAGGTGAATCTGTGTATCTGCTCCCCTGTCTTTACCTTTCTTAGTTTGAAAGGCCTTTTTCCAGAGCTGAGATGATTTCCTTGGTTCACAGTCCTTCTGTAATTGCACATGAGGCCACTAAAAGTTGTGGATTTTTTTGTTTGTTTGTTTGTTTGTGGGTTTTTTTGTTTTGTTTTGTTTTGTTTTTTCCTCATGTCTCTCCTTGTCTAAAAGGAATTGATTCTCTTAGATACCTTTGCTTGTGAGGTCCACTCTTGAGTCTTCATGCAAATGTTTTTCCCATGATGTCTCGGTATTATTCTAAGGAGTATTATTGTATCCTGAGAACTGATGTCAGTCACAACTGAGGCTAAGACTTCAGACCTATTACCCTACAGCAGGCTGCATTAACATCTCCATCTTTAAATTTTAGACAATTTTTCTTGAAAATTTGAAAAAGTTGCAGTTGGAAGAGTTATATCAGAGAAAGGATTAAACTTTTACTTTCAGTTTGTGTTTCTTGTAAAGTATCAATTATCAAAAAGTAAAATTACTGATGAATATGAAATTAAATGCTTTATGCAAAAAGTCTTTATAGTAGTGATAATTTTAAACAATCATCTTGAAAAGTCTCAAAAAGGCTTGTGATAGAAGCTTATGAATTAAACATGACTTCTGCTGGAGCGAACAGGCAAGTTTTTGAATCATATTAAAATGAAAGTCATGTTGATTTTTTTGATTTTGCTGAAGTATTACTTAAGTCTAGGATTATATGCAGTTGCCAGTATCCAGAACCTACACAGAGCTAGGCTGTTTCAAGTAGGCTGAGTGCCTATTTTTTGAGGAGGGAGGAAGAGGGGAGCATTTTTGCTTTGTTTTGTATAACCCAGCTTCTTACAACTTTTAGGATATTCTATGTGACCCCTCAAAATTAATCATAAACAAACTATTTAAAAAAGAAATTTTCCCAGTTTATCTAAGTAAGACAGTCTGGATCCCTTTCCCCCCATGGCGTGGGGCGGCCCAGTTCTAGTTCCATTTCCATCTGAGGAACCATTTCCGACGGCTTGAGGTGGACAGGGAAAGGGAACTCCAGTGCCAGGGGTTTCTTCAGGTCCTGAGCCTGGAGGGGAGAGGTGCTCTCCCCTCCTCCCCCCACCCACGTGGTCCCATGGCAGGCACAGAGACAGCACACCGGTGTGGAGAGGAGGCAAGAGAGAGTTTATTGTTGGGGGGGTTACATTTATAGGGTTAGGAAGATTCACAGGGTAACCAACTACAGGTTGCAGGAAGGGGTTAACAACCAATAGGAAGAGGTTAAAAGGGGCCAATGAGAAGACTTCAGGACATCTTCCCAGGACATTCCTGCATGGGAGATAACAGTTGCTGTGGGGGGTGTTGGGAAGAAGAAACATGTGTTTGCAAAGAGACCACAAAAAACCATTTTAAGACATGTTTAAACAACAGTTTTCCCATATAATGCAGGTTTACTGCTACAAGACAGAATTTAAATTTTGAAAACTATTTCCCATTTTCTTTCTGAATTGATTTATACAATTTTCTGATTTATATTATATAACATTTGCTAAATGGAACACTTGTCTTTAGTAATTTGAATTACTGATGGAAAGGAAGAGTTTTCTTCTCAGTGTTGCACAATCACCCGCTACTTTTTTGACTCAACATTCTTTTTTTCAGATTGTTACCGTGGCAATGGCAAGAGTTACATGGGGAATCTATCCAAGACAAGATTTGGGCTAACTTGCTCCACATGGGACAAAAATATTGAAGACTTACGTAGGTGTGTACATATGAAACAGGAAGAGATGGTTCAGTGAGTCCTGAATAAATACTGCCTCCAAATGGCAACTCTTTCTCATCTGCAGTGATTCTAAAGCAGGCCCTTATGCCCTGGAGTTTTTAGTATTATTTTTTTTTAATCTTTATCTTTTTCTTTTTTCTTTGTGTTTAAATACGTTACACAACATGACTTTGTTCCAACTAACCACTAATTGCAGGCTTTGGGATGTTTCTTAGTGTTTAGTTTACTGGCCTGTTTTACCCCATCTTTGTCCTCAAAAGTTTTGTACAATGAGACGACAGCAGGAACGAGGCAGGAAATTATTATCTCATCAACCTAATTTCATAGCTCACACTGCTTCAAAGAGGAGGTTGGACTTGAAACCACCTAATGTCCCTTGCTACCTGAAATTGAATCTCGAATCTACAGTCTAATGACACTGACATCAAATGCCATTAAAAAGACTTGCAATTTCTGTTGTTTATCATTACTTTGGCTTCATATTCAAGTAGTGGAAATGGCAAGTTACTTTAATTTATTTGTTGAAGTAAAATGAATCAGCAGGAAGTACAAAATAAGGGATTTATCTAAAATTTTGCTATGTATGAGATATCACAAACACTAGTGGCCCTGATGGAAACAGTTTCTCCTTCACTTTCCTTTGGTTTCTGAGGCTCATGCAAATATGCCAATATTGGCTTTGGTACTTGTTGTTGAGTCATAGTGACCAACATATTGGGCACTATTTTCCTTTGTAATCTGGCTGTCCCTGATTCCTTCTGCTGATGTTATTGTCAGTCAGGACAGTGTGTAAGTCAGCAAGTCAGCCTTTGGTGAAGCTGTATTGCAAAAGGCAGAATTCAGTGGCCCTGTCTGGAATCATCACTTGAACTGCATGTGTTTTTCCCCACAGATGTTAAGAGAGAGGATGCATATTCCAGCGTGCTGTCCATGTAAGGGAAGCAGAGGTTTAAGATCATAACTTCTGAGAAGCCTGATAAGTCTTCAGTTAGAATGAGATAGCATAAACCTACTGGATGCTTGATGCAATTGCATTCATTTAACTGAGCACAGATCAGCCTTGATTTTCTTACTCCCACACATTTTCCATCTGGGAACTTCTTTGGGGAGTTATCTGTCTCACTGCAACAGTTTCTCTGGTTATGGGTGTACTAGAGACAGCATACGTGGTTGGTAGTGAACTAAAAGAGCAGTACAGCTGTAACCAGGGAAGCCTATACCCTTGTCAGAAATAAACAGATTTCTCTGCTTCAGATTGTGACCCCAAAATTTCCCCTTTAAAGTGCCCCATGTAGAAGCAATTTAGGTGACCTATCACTGCAGTTTGTTTGAGCCATTCATCCTTCTGCTTGCCTGCTGTTCAGCCTTGCTAACTTTCTTAGTTTGCCCTTCCTTTGCCTATGATTCATCTTTGCAGATTCAACACTCCCTTGTGCTGTTAACCTGCAAGGAGAAGGTACCTGTGCTCCCCAGAGAGGACTGCCGGTTTGCTGAGGACATCACAGGCACCCTTCTAATCAGTGTAACGGTCCCTCCTGAGGGTATCTAGAGATTTTAGCTTGACTGGGAGATCTAGAAACCTCACAGCTGTCTAATGCACACTGTGCTTAAAATACCAATCAGAGGAAACTTGGACCCAGATCCAGCAAATATTTGGGTCTCGTCTTCCCTTTGATTTTAACCAACCCTAAACCCTGACCTGTAGGCTTCTCAATCAGCTAATAGTACAATGTGGAGCAAAGCAACATTTAACCTTTGAAAATTTGGGCTATAATATAAAGCTTTTCAGCACTTTGAATTTTTTTTCCCTGTAGGCATATACAAATATTCAGAGAACCAGATGTTAGTAAACTGAAGAAAAACTATTGCCGCAATCCAGATGATGATTTTCATGGTCCCTGGTGTTACACAGATGATCCTCTTGTTCCCTGGGATTACTGCCCTATTTCTCGATGTGAGTACTTGCTATGCCTCTGGCATTGTCAGTTGTGCTGTCCCAGTAAAGCCATGGTTTCACAGGCATATGCACACCTTTCCATTGTCACTTGTGGCAGTGGAAAATGTGTGATTCTATCAAGAATCAATTGTGCGTGACTGAGAAGGAGCAGACAGAAGCTGCTTGTGCAATATATGAACAAGGGGTTCTTTTCCTTGACCAGCTTGGAGATTTCAAGGCTTATTTATGCAGCAGGAGCACAAAAGGGCTATTAGAGATGGTCAAACATTTTCCAGCAGATCTAGCTATTGAATGAGGGCTGGACGGAGACAAAGAATTGTCTGGTGGTCAGAATGCTGGCTGTGGCCTCAAGAAACCCAGGGAGAGTTATCTTCTAAACTACAAGCTTCAGAGTCTCTTTGTGTGATCTGTATTTGTAAAATTAGGATAACTCACTATGTATATGCTGAAGTGCATATGTGCTATACAGATTAGATTCTGCTTTCAGATGTTTCTGGGATGATTTAACTCCTGGCAAGAATCAGGAAAATAACGCCCCCAAAGTTGAATGTTTAAATCTAAATAGCTTAAAAAACCAGAATTAAAAATCCTAGGGAACTCAGTAACAAACAGACAATAAGTGGGAAAAGACAGTTTTATGCTGAAAAATGCACAATTCATATTTATGTTCAAAATCTTTCTCTTTAATTCTTATTTCTAAATTTACTCTGTATCCTGGGAGAACACTTAAATGGTAAATCAGGCTTTTGAATACATGTCTCTGATCTCTAGAGGTTAAGGATAATGTTACACTCATTCCTAGTGGCAATCTGCTGCATTTCCTCAATAGTCTGAACTCCTGCATCTCTAAAAAGTGATATTTGAAGTCTCAGGCGATGCTTTGGCATCTATGAGAGGAGTAAACAAACCGTGCAAAAGGTTATTTGTGTCAATGTAAATTAAAAAAACAGCTGAAGAAATATACACTTATTCTGTGTTCATTATCTGAATCTATGAATTCCTAAGGAAATATTCACAGCAAACATTTCTAGGGTAATGCAATATTGGTGACTATTACAATTTCTGCAATCAAACTCCAGAGTGGGAATATGTCTGTTTTACAACTGTAACTCATATGGACTACTACTAGTAGCTCATTTACTTATAACCAGCTTAACAAGTACAGAAAAAATTCTGACAGTTCCCCAATTAACTTTCTTGGTGCCTTTAACTGGTCTACTCAGACTACATTACATATATATATATATATACATACACACACATATATATACACATAGATATGTATATATATGTATATGTGTATATATATATGCACATACATATGTATGCATATGCACGTACATAGAAATTTAACTATGTATATAACTCTATACCTTTATATATACATGTGTATATATATATATACATATACATGTGTGTCTATATATATGTATTTGCTTAATGGTGGAAATCTAGTTGGATGAGACTGTTTAAATTTTTCTTGTGCAAATTTTCAGTAGCTACACCTGTACCTCCACTGTGCTTCCAACTCAATATGCTGGGTCACTCTGTAGACTTTACTGAAGGCAAAAATTTTAAGTGAAGGTTAAGGAACCTTGTTGTAACTGCTTTTTTTTTTTTTTACTTGGACTTAATGGAAGAACTGAACCAGATTTTGGGGAACATATTTTGATAAGGATAAGTTTTTTGTTGATAAGAACATAGAAGGACTTTTGAAGTTTCAAATGTTATTAAGGAAACTAGAATTTATTTTGGTCTGATTTGGATTTAATGACATGACTTCCATAGTTCCTCAAAGCTTGTAGAAAAATCACAATTTCATTTTTCAACATTTACTTGTTTGAATAAAACATGTAAATTGAACATGATAGGCAGCCTGATGTATTCAGAATTCAACTAAGTAGAAAAATGCTTACAAGTCCTATTGCAAAATGTTTATTTCTTATTTCATTCTGTTGGGATAAAATTCTGTCTTCTTGTTAGTTCTTACTTAATTGTACTAAAGAAATCATTGAAGTTTAAAACCTGGTGTATCATTGAAGTTAACAATATGCCATTTGCTGTTGATTTTTACTCTATTAAATTTTTAAATGCATTTTAATTTAGTATTATGGTTATCATATGTGTCTGTCTAGGTGAAGGTGATACAACTCCTACTACAACCAGCTTGGATGGTAAGTAATTTTGTGCGTATACTGTACAACGCATGACTGTATCCTCTAGGAATAACCATTTCTTTCCAATTGGGAAACAAGTAAAGATCAGTTAAAGTTATAAAAAAAACATATAGGCTGAGCAAAATTGCTTTTACCAGAGGAAAATGGGGAACAGCTCTATTGCACTCCTTTATCTATTCTCACTGTTATGTCTTACCAGTGGTAAAATTTGGTAGTGATTTACAATGTTTGCTTTTTAACTACATAAATCTCAAAAAAACTAGTTAAATGCATGTATTTTATATTCCCTATGGATATTTATATAGACATACTCAGCTCCATTGAAGTAGTTTTGGTGGTTTAGAAATATATTTCATTAGCATAGGGAAGTTAATCCGTAATAAATATTGATCTTCTTGTGGCCCTTATGTGCAACTGCGCAGGTTTCCTACCGCTGTTTTTAGTAAAATGTGATCTCTGGACCTGCTTTCAGATACTACCATTCCTTGTGCCTCAACAAAACATTTGAGAGTTGTAAATGGAATCCCAACACAAACTAACGAAGGATGGGTGGTTAGTTTGACCTACAGGTAACTATTACTTTGGTTAGAAGGACAATACATCTAATAGGACATTTGTTTCAGAATTGTAGAAAATGTTGACGATATTAAGAATAATTCTACATTGCAGTTAAATTCTGTAAAAGCAGAGAAACAGGATTCCTGTGATGTCAGATGATGCCATAGTATGAACCCTGCTAGTGAAATATTTTATATGTTCATTATTACTAACTTAGCCACATGAACTTGTAAAGCATTCATAGCGTTCTGCTCTTTCAATTACTGCAGATGTTATCATAACATTGGCTTAGCATTCAGCACTAAATTGTTTATTTTAAAGACCGTTAGGAAGAAGCTGAATTTCATAACATTTTCACTGTGACAGTAGAGCATTTAGTTGCGGAGTATAGGATTGAGGACTTATACCCATGTCAAATTTAGCTTTCTCCTTATATCATTACATGCAATTAAAATTTGTTTGGTATTAAAAAAAAATAAGTAGGAGCTATAAGGAAACCCTTTTCATTCTGTAAAACAGGACCCTAACATGTACAGCTTATGTTTAACACATGTATTACATTATGGCAGATTTTACTTTGCTACTGTGTAAAAGCCAGAACACAGAATTGCTGCTTCCTGTGTTCATTACGCTGGTTCATAACTCATCAGCTGGAAGTGTGAATCATTAATTTATAACAGGATATATCTCATGTATCAGCCTACATCTTCTATCATGGAAAAAAAAAAAAGCAAAAAGCCTCTTAACCTCTGTGGGGAAAAACACATACAGTCCAAGTGATGATTCCAGACAGGACCACTGAATTCTGCTTAAATGAAACATGAGAGTAAAGGAAAAGATAAAAAAAATATTTTCTACATTGCTTCATTGCTAGAGAAGTTCCAGGGTTTCTTCTCATCCATAGTAATCTTTGCATCTTGTGAGATCCCATCAGAACTATTCCTTTCTGGAAGTGTAGCATAAGGTCCAGACAGACATTTCTAAAGGAACATCACTATATTCCTAGACTGAGTAACCAGATAGGTGGGCTAAGTCACTCTGAAAAAGTTCAACTTTGTTCTGTTTTAGAAGCAGCCTTGATATTTGAGGAACTTTTAGACAGGTAAGGTGAATTATGTCTAGGTACCCAAAATTTAAATAGCTAATGTTAGGGTAGTTGAACCTGGATTTTTTGCTATGTGACAAAATTCTGTGAAATAGATGAGTGCTTAAATGATTGCAGATCCTTTTATGAATAAGGGATTCCTGGAATACTCCAGCAGCAAAATATCTTTTGAACAATTACATGTGGGCATAAAAATGTAGCTTTATTTTGTATTGTTACCAAGGAAGCAAGTAGAATATTTTCTGAAACAAAATCCTAGTGACTTCAGAACTTTCTGCAAGAAAACTTACACTTCAAGATGGAATTGCCATGTCTGAATGGTGAACACTTAGTGACACTTAGAAACTATTCTTATTTGGCAATCAAAGCACACCTCTAAATGTTAGATTAATCAACGAAATTTTGTTATATATCAAATCCAGATTCTGGTATCAAGTATATTTAAGTAGATTTTGATGGATTTCATCTGTGTCATGGAACCAGCTCTAAATTTGTCCCATATTTAAATAAGAAGTTAACCTTTCTAAGTGTACTAATTAATCTTCTAAAGCAGATGATGAAATCTTGTATAGTAAAATAATAAGTGATGCAAATATAACATGAAAGAACTCATTTATACTTCTGATTGTGACATTTTTATAATAAAACTGGGGAGAATCTATATTTTAGAAAGGCTACAGCCTTTTGGACCAGATATTTTTCTGCTCAACCAAATTCAATTAAAAAAAAATCAAACGTTTGTGTTATTCTGCTGTCTTTGAGCTCCATATAGAATCTGGTATCCATCCAGCAGTTCTTTGCAAAGCTTTGAACATTTGTGTGATTTGAATTTATAAATTGTGAGATTTTAAGCTTTTCTGAAATTGCTGACAATTCTGATTCCCTTTCCAAAATGCTGCAGAAAATAAATGTAATTTTGGAGGCACAACGAAGGAAACTAATTAATCTACATTCCACAGTAATTTTTTTTTTTTTGAAAGAACTCTCATGCCTAATTGCTTTAATTTTACTTGATATATTATGCTTCAGGTTTTCTATAATCACATGTAGGATGTCATACACTGCAGATTGTTTCCAACTGAAGTATGTGGGGACACAAATCTCCTAGGGCTTGTAATCAAGTAGGAACTCTCCACCTTGAGGTCAATGCTTTGAATGATACTTACATGAGTAATGACCAAATGTTGTTTACATCTGGTGGCAGTTTGGGGACTTGCTTAAATGTTTGAGTCCAGCTCCTGTTAAAAGAATTTACTCGATTGGTTTGTTGGGTTTTTTTATTTAATTTTAATTTTAAATTAGGTCTCTTATTACAAATTCAGCTTTGAAACCACTAAATGAACAGAGTAACTGAATTGGTCTTTCTTTCTGGTTTTTACACATTAGAATAAATCATTGCTAAGTCATGTTACTGTAAGTGTTAAAACTGTACAGCAAAGGGACAGAGACATGTTTCTGTGTATTGTCAGTCTACCACTTTTCACCAGCAAAAATATGTAGGGAGCAAAGTACTCTTTAACATTTTGACTATATAGAAATTAATACCCTTCCTTTTTTTTTAACCTTTTTTCTTTTTTTCCCCCCAGGAATAAACATATTTGTGGTGGCACTTTGATAAAGGAGGAGTGGGTTCTTACAGCAAGACAGTGTTTCCCTTCTCGGTACAGTAGTCTGTAACTTTGCAATATTAAAATGCATCTATTTTCAGGAACTTATCAGCACAACAAGTCTTCAACTTAAATGCAGCAATTTTCCCTCCTGTTTGGCTTTAATACTGCTTTTCTAATATAAAAGGCCCACGGGACCTTGGTATTTTCTGTTATTATTGTTGTAAATCTAAAAGAGCTCTGACTATTTTACATAGAAGCATAAATAGGTTTTCCAAGTGTCATGGTTAGACAATTGCCTTTTTATGAGAATAACCTCATGCCTCTGTTTAACTTGACAGAATAAAATAGAAAACTTGGGTAAATCTCAAAAAGTTCAAAGGTTCATACTGTCCAAGGATCTAAATGTTTGGATACTATTATGAAACAAAAATTAGATTTTAGTAACAGTTAAAGATAAAATTATGTAATGGCTTCAGGCCAAAAACTTACATTCAAGCATGTTGATTTTGGAATAGCAGTTGGCAGCATAAAGCCATTTCTGCTGAAGAGCATTAGTTAAGATCTTCTAGCCTAATCATATTAAGCAGAGTTTTTTGAGGTATTTTATCTTATACTCAGCAAAATCATAACCAACTTTGTCTCATTTAGGTACAAAGATTTGAAAGACTACAAAGCCTGGCTTGGAGTCCATAATATCAAAGGAAAGGGAGAGGAGAAGCATAGGCAAGTCCGGAATATCTCCCAGCTGGTATATGGCCCTACAGGGTCAGATTTGGTCCTACTGAAACTCAGCAGGTTAGTAGTTGTTATGGTGAATTCCAGGATTTTCATCTGATGGATGAGATTCTTCCTAAATAAGATTTGCAAGTTCATTGCTCTACTATCTCCAATACTGCAGATGCTGTCTCCATGGGCTAAACTTCCAATTCAAAGATATTTTACTTGGTATATGCAAAAATACAGGTCCATCTACAGAATCTGAGGATTCTGAAATATCAGTTGTTTTTTTTTTTCCTGATAACCATGTTTAGGTTTGTTGGGAGATAAAAAAAAAAAAAAACAAAACAACAAACCCACAAAGTGCCCACATGGACTAGTATAACGTTTTTGTGGCTAGGCTTCGCAAAAGAAGATTTGGGAAGGGCTCTACCCATGTTTGTTGCAAAGTATAAGGTTTTAATTTATAGAATAAGCACCAGATTGTAACTTAAATCCTTACATATATACAAGCTTTCAAACTTTCTCCAGATTAACAAAACTACATATTCAAATGAAATGCCATTATTACTTACTTTTAAGATTAAAACCTAAGTTAAATAGCATAAAAGTGGTGACAGCATTTCAAGAAATCTTTTGACAGTTAACAGCTGTAGCACAAAAATTAGGTAGAAGAATCCATCACATTCTTTAAAGACAAAAAATGAAGAAAAAGAATTGGCACAGTTTTTGATTGCTGTGGTCTATAATAGACTTAATGCCATTTTTAAGATACATTTTAGAAGATCAAAATCCGTTGTATCTATTATTTTGTCTCTCATTTCAGACCTGCTATATTGACAAATTTTGTAGAAATAATCCGATTGCCAATTTCTGGATGTACCATTCCAGAGAAGACCAGTTGCAGTGTTTATGGATGGGGATACACTGGATGTAAGAAACTATTTTTAAAAACTAAATGAATACGTTGACAGCTTACTTCCTCTTGTCATTATAGGTGAGGCTGCTGGTATTGCCTGATGCCACAGTTGTCCAACACTTCTTGTTATAAAATACAGTTTCTTTTTTTTTTTTCTAATTTTATAAATCTTTGACCATTTTATCTAAGTTCATTTAATATGGAATATTTTCTACTAGTCTATCCTTTTGTTTCAGTGACAGGCAAAATGATTCAAACATTTCAAGGAATGAACTAGAGAAAAACATTGATCTACATGTTAAAAAATTAGAAGATCTGTTTTGCAGAATGCTAGCTGGTTTTTGAAAAAATCTGGTTCATCTGGTTCATCATGAGCAGTCTCCTTCTGTATCCCAAAGTTGGCCAAAGTTGGCCGCCCTGTGGAAAAACTCATACAGAAACATGTAATCAAAGACTTTATTAATATACACAATGACACTGAACTAGGGATGCACAAGCAACCCTAGGTCTGGTATTTCCTAACTTTTGAATACTTGACTTTGCAACCTTCCTAATGTTTATTAAACACAGTTTTTGTGTGAAGAAAATACAAATATGTGGGAGAACAGACATTTATTTAGTCTGGTAAATGCTATATCTGGCTAATTATGTGTTGATAATAAAGTTAATAGCTGCCAGTTGACAATAATTACTCCAATATTTACTGTGCTCAAATGTTGTTTTGCCACAGACCCCGAGTAAGCAGCAGCAACAAACTCACACTGTCCTGGAAGCAGGGCAGAAACTAGACTGGAATTCTGAGTCTCTCTTCCATGTAGCCATTACTCTGCATTTCTTTGTGGGTGGCAATTAATCTGTACCAGCCCTCTCCCAAATGACTGCCTTTGATGTTCCCAGCATGTCCACATTAGCCGTCCTCTGGGGCCATCGGCTGTCTGGGGGACAGGGACATAGGGCTGGAGCACAGCATCACAGGAAAGCTTAGCTTAACAGACCTGATAAGGAATTTGCAATGCTGTGGAGTTATGTAATACAGTAAATACATAACATCTGTCATCCAAGGACTTTGTATTATATTTTATGCACTACTTATTATAATCCTCACAGAATCCTGGTCAGGGAAGGAAGAAGTGTTACATCCATTTTTTCAAGAAAACAGGATAATAAGTCAGTGGAGAGCAGGCTTGGCGTTTTCTTTTGATGGCTGTGCAGAGAATGGGCAGGTCCAGACCCTTTATTTATCTTTGCAGCTTGTACGGGCTTGTCTTTCAACATGTAGAACAAGAGTAAGCTCCACAGGGCTCCTGCTTCCTGACCTTCACACTGATGAATGGAGATTACACAAGGCTGTGGCTCTGCCCTTGCGGGCACAAAGTCATTCAGTGTAGCTGAGCCAGCACAGAATGAGAAAAACTCTACTCTGCTACAGATTTTCTCAAGTCACACGTCCTTCCCTGGGCCGTGGTAGGCACTGTTACACATTAACTCATGTTTAAGGCAGGAAGCAGAATCCTTGCTCCACTGATGGGAGAGAGAACATTTTCAGGGTCTCTTTTTCTGATTTCTTTGATATGACAGGGTGAGCTGGTGGTGAGCTGTAGAGTAAACCCAGTTACCTAGCCCTCTATTCTAATACCAAAAATTTATTCACATATTCTCAGAGAACTGAACAGACAGGCAAACCAAACAAATGCCTTGAAAATCTAATTTGTAGAAAATAGAAGAAATCCAAAATACAAAAGCATGGTGGGGATGGACAAAAATGGGAATACTGCAGTGAAAGGACAATAACTCAAATTACATGAGTAAGTTTATCCAGACTGCAGCTTGAATTATCTTTTCCCCTCTAAAATAGAATAAATTTTTTATTCTCTTTTCAATCCTAGTAGTTAACTATGATGGCCTGCTCCGAGTAGCAAACCTGTTTATTTTGGGAAACGAGAAATGTAACCAATATCTAAAAGGGAAGATCACTGTGAATGAGTCAGAAATCTGTGCTGTGGCTGAAACCATCGGTGCTGGGCCTTGCGAGGTAAATATTGTATTTCCTGATACATTCTTAGGAGCTATCAGCCTGGCTGTTTCTTTCCAAAAAGTAATTTACTGGAGTTTTTTATAATTATTCTCTCTGTATTACACTCATGCATGAAGAAATATTTTCATCTTATGCATTGGAAAATGATTTGTGTTACAAGTGTTTTATTTTCTGCCAGACTGCAGGAAGAGGTTCCTTTGTTTCAACTTCACTGTGCCACCACACCAGTGAATGATGTACATGAATGTTAAATATGCTCATATGACTGAACACTATACTTGTCTGACACAAATTTGTGTTCTCTATAGAAAGGGCCAAAGTGGCCTGAGTGCTAGCAATAGCATTATATTTTGATTGAGTAGAAAGAAAAGACTGGAGCAAATTTAGCTTCTTAGTTAGATGGGGAACTTCATGCAAAATATATGAGTTAATACCCAACAGAGTTGATAAAGTTATGAAGGAAGGAGAAAGATACAAAAATGTTTTGAGGTTCATATCACTCAGAAGACTGGAGCATTTGGTCTCCCTAATCAAGACTGAGCAACATGTCAGCGAGGACAGGAGCTATATGATCACTACTTCAGTGATCATATGGCTTGATAGAGGTGTTTTGCTTGGGACTAGTTTTGATGATGGAGAAAAGACATCTGAGAAGAAATGTTGTAAATAATGTATTACAGGAAAAGATAATTTTTTTTTTTGCAGAAAATCTGGCTGATGAAATGATATCTAGATGGAGGGCAGTCATGAACAGTACTAAGTATTTAATATCTGGAGTAGAATAGTTGATTTACTAATACTGATGTTAACCATGTAGTGAAACTTTCCCTACCCAAGAGTACTACCAAACCATGGGGAACAGAGATCATGTTCATCAAGCTGAGGCCTCTTCCATTTATTATTAATATTCCACAGGATCACTTTTTTGTTGCAAAGTATTTTCTTCAAAATAAGAATTTTATACTTAATTGTAAATGAGGTCTTAGGCTTGTCAAGGCTTATAAATGAAACATCTGCATGGAAGTCTGCTGGGGATCCTGCACTTTGTTTTCCCCTGCAAGGGGAATGGACTGAATTAATATTAGCAATCAGTCTTAATCGCTGCATGGTTTCCTGCTCCCCAAGTCCCCCTTTGAAGCTACTTTCCTCAGCAGAGAACAGGCAGAGGAACAAAATCAGACTGACAGGTGAAACTCCACTCCTGAAACTGTTTTATGAGCTACTCCGATGGCACTGACATAATTCATTGTTCAAGTGGGAACTATTCTGCCATCAGTCAAAAAAAACCCCAGACCAAATAAAGGTCAAACATTGTTGTTTCTCTGGTGATCCGGAGAGAATACAATGCTAATTGTCTGCTTTTATTTTCTGAAACAATGTCTCGCTATCTGATATGAACATTTACTGTCTAGTTTTGCAGCTAGTTTTCTGGGTTCAGTGTACCTTTAGCCCAAGTAAAAACTGCAGAATCTATGTTCAAGTCCGAAGTGTATATGAATATATCTAAATTATTGTTTCAATCTAATTTAGACTGGATGTATTTTAGTGCTAAATAAGATCCTGCTCTCAGTGGGTCATACTCTGAATTTTCACAAAATGCATAAACTGGTGCATAGGTGTCTCATTCATTCAGAATAATAAAAGAGAGCATTTTAACAAGTTATGTCTCAAAACTATGTCTAAAAAATATTACCTTTTATTATGTTTGAGATCCTCCCACATGCCTAGTACACATAAATTCTCACTGTAGGGCCTTGCAAGATGATTGACTGAAAGATATTAACCTGACTCTGTCAGTAGTCTGGGATACAGAGCCTGTTATCATAACAAAGGTGTTTATCAGTCACCTCACATTCTGCTCATCTGGTTTATATTTACATAAACAAATATCAAGCTTGCAGGTAGCTGAAAGAGGTGAATAAGATCTGATAGTCTGAAGTCTCTAGAACTACAGGTAAAGATGGATCACAGGATTTAATTTCCATGGAAAAGAACCAAAGGGTCAGAGGGCATCTTAGTCATTGGTTCTTATAAGTTCTGGCTATGAAAAAGGTATTGGAAGTTGATTTATATCCTATGGCAGAATAACACTATCGCCTGTTCATTGAGCAAGGTCATCCCCAAAAGAAACCACTCAGTAGGATACAGGTGGGAGTGATGTCTTGAAGCATTTTGAGAAGTGACATCCATTATGTTTATCTTTTCCTAGCGAGATTATGGTGGTCCCTTGGTTTGTGAACAAAACAGGCTGAAGATAGTTGTTGGTGTCATTGTTCCTGGCCGTGGATGTGCCATTCGAAATCGTCCTGGGATTTTTGTCCGAGTCTCATATTATTCCCGGTGGATACACAAGATTATGATGACCTACAGAAAACCCTGAAAAACTCAACAACTTTCATTGAAAGATTTTGGACAGCATGGAATTAATGTCTAATGTAAAGATCAACAATTTTTTAACTACTTGATAGTCAAGTTTGTTGAGCTTCATTTAATATTTATGGGTGTTTTTGTTTGTCTATCAGTGTTGTTTTATAAATGTTGGAGTGACTTACAGTATATGCAAGTATGGTGACATATCTCCTGAAGATACTTGAATGGGTAAACAATTTCACAATGACACTATTACTGGATGATAAATGAGTCTGTAGAAATAGATCATATGACCTGTTTTATGCTGCTCTTCAGATTATCTTAGAAGGAGAAAAAAATTATAGTTTTATTTAACACATTCTTTCCATGAGCCATATATTTCTCTTCATATATGACAAAAGACCTACTGAGAGATATATGCAACTGTCAAGGACAGCATATATGATCATATTTCTCTTCCCCCCTTATGAGAGGTAAAATATTGCAATATTTTATTAAAAAATAATCCTTTAATAATTAATCTTTTAATTATTGAAGGACTTTGACAAGCCTGCCATAAGCAGAGTTCTCATAGAAGTCACTACCAGTTCGGTTTTTTTAACAGTGCTTATAGACTTTAGTTCTGCACTTGGTTCCTTCACTGTATATGTGATCCTCTAATAGATGTTTCAAAACACTTTTTGGCTAGCAAACCACTGATCATTTCTTTAAAGTTTGACCCAGAAATAACTGAATTTCCAATGCTAAAGACAGCATTTTGTACAGTTTGAAAAGTAATTCTGGAAGACTTTGGACATTAAAATAAATTTCAATCAAATATGCCCAAGTCTTTCTCAACAGACAAGTATTAAAAATTCACTTGGTTCTAGTTATTTCATGAAAGTAACTCTGTATTTACAACAGGAAAAAGAACAGTTAAATTTGGCACCTGGCTGGGAAACTTAAGACTGGGAAAAGTAAGTTATACATTACATTAATAGTTTTTCAGAGGCTTGAGTTCTTTGCTAAAACCTTACCTAGATTTGGACAAAATTCTATCCTCTGTATAATTCCTTTCAAGATAATAAAATTATTGCAGATTGATATGATCTTGTATATAGTATGGACAACATCATCAACAGTTTAGTAGCTTGTGTTTCCTGCCTGCATGTAGAATCATCATTTCCTTTTATGTTGATGGGGAAAGGGAACAAAAAATCAGCCTCTATGAAAAGGGTTTGTTCTCCTTTAGGCATTTAGTTGTATGGCTGGAAGTATTGTACCAATACATTCTTATAGATGGCACTGATTACCCTGCAATTTCTGGAAAATTGATGCAACATATATACAATTGTTAGTTTTACTACTGTACATGTAATTGCATAAGTAACAACACTGTTACTTCACTTGTGGCTCCATAAATTGTAAATGCTTCCAGTAGCATTTCCAGTAGAGTATGTGTATCGTGTCTAACTGCACAGCCACCAAGCTGGCACCGTGGTGTAGACATACAAAAGGACATTTCATGAAGAAGACGCAGAGTTGAATTCTGCCCTGGCAGAAAGTAACCACTTCAGGGGAGTTCTCTTGGGAGACCAGCCCTCGTGTTGACTTACCGGCCCTCGTGTTGACTTACCAAATTTTCTTCAGCAGTGCACTTTGACTTCACATCTCCTGGTGAACTGGGATGAGTTTCAGCTCATGCTTAAGTAGCTTGGCTTGCTGAGATTTGTGACAAGCATCCAGCGGATTCTACTGGCACATAGGAAGAAGTCTTTCAGCAAGCAGAGCTTCTACAATTCCTCCCAATGTAAATAGTCTCATTGGACAAGATGTGACTTCTCTGTACAGCAGGTTCGAGGTTGTGGATGCTACACAGATAGTCTGTCTAGGTCTGTGTTGGCCACCTCCAAAGACTTTATGATCCCTTTGGCCTCTCTTACTTACTAGGCCTAATGAGGGCAGGATTTAGCCAGTTGTATTTACAGTTAATTATTGCCATGTATGTGAAGAGTGTATTCTTACTAAGTATATACTGACCATATCTTATAGAAAGGATTAACTTTTGAAGAGAGACTTTTAAAAAACTCCAAGTGAGTTTTGTTTTCTGCCACAAGTAGAATGTGGATAAAATATACGATTTCATGTTCACTCTTTGTATTCTAAGAATTGTTATGTGCTCATTGTATTATATTTGCAGGCATTTTGTTATGTCTATCTAAAAAAATTGAATCCTAAAATATTTTAGTTATAAGCTTCTGCTGTGCAGAAGACTGTGATTTTTATATATATATATCACACACATATATATATATATATGATAAAAATACTGTTTTTTGTTAGACAATGTGTAAGGATTTTTACCTGTTTGTTCTGGGCAGTGTCTCAGTAAAATAAATTGTGCAGAGTTGATGCTCCAGAACTTAACAAGCTTGTATGCACTTGCTTACCAGGTACTTTTGCTCTCCCTATCTCAATATGGAGGGCACCTGAGACCCTGAAGAGCAAGGGAAGAGAAGAATAATGATATGTGGTAATGAATTTGTACTTCATTTATTCCTGTGAATATTTCTTGTTGGTACCAATGGTACCGTACCAGGCAACTGTTATAACTACAGGATTCTCTTAAGAAAGGACACGCTATAGATATTTTTTTCACTGTTGTAGTATTTTTCTCTCTAACAAGGGAACCTGATCTTGTGCCCATCTAAATTCCTGGAAAACCTCTTACTAACTTCAGTGGCATCTGGACTTCGCTTCATAAATGTGATTTTATTCATATTAGGATAAAGGGTACAGAACTTAAATTCTTATCTAAGGACATTCTTAAACTCCATTGAATTTCATCTTCATTCTCCTTGCTATAATGCTGTAATTAATCCTTGGTCTCTGAAAAATGTAATATCTGGTTATAAAATTTTGGAATTAAGATATAAGAGCTGATTTTTTGCTACTGAAGTTAGTTTAACTTAATTATTGTTCTTCTTTGGGCATTGGAACTGGCTGATATTTCTTCCTTTAATTAATGAAAACATTTTCCCCTTAAAAAAGCTTTTTCCCTGTCTCTTTTTCTCTCATAAACCTCATGACCCTCAGAGAAACTTAGTTGTCATTGGGAATGTACTGGTCTAGATTTTTTGCTGCTACTGCTGAAATCTTCTTCTCTAGTTTAAGATTAAAATTCTCTGAGGCATTCTGCAATCCACTGCTGCAGGTAATGCCAATGTACTTGACACAGCTACTCACTTGAGTTGACCTTTTCAGATGAGGGTCCAAATATATCTCCAAGGATCAAAACCTACTCAGGCAAAATGTCCCTTGAATTCAGTGAGTGGGGTTGTCGAGTGGGGCCTGAGAGTTGCTCAGTGCTTTTCCCAGTGGCTGTGCGCTGAACCACATGGATCCTTGGACACTGAAAAGCACACAGATTCTCTACTCCAAGGCAACTGCAGCAGGAGTCAAGGCTTTACCATCATCTTTCTGGAAGGTTGGTTGTAAACCAGTCAACCCCCAAGGAGACTGTATGAAGTCTATTGGATTGGTTGTTTAGCCTTGTTTTCTTGTCAATTATTTTCTTCCTCCCTCACGTGCACTGGCATATTACTGGTTTTGAATGTTGGGGCTGCTGGCGGGAACTAACATGGGTTTTCACCCTAAAATTTTGCAGTGTTCCTTTTTAAACATACTCTTGGGCATTTATGTGTGGTGTTACTTTGCATGGGATCTAACTTCAGGGAGCTGCCTGTGGAATTTAGTGTAAGATAAAAGTATTTTTTCATATTTAAGAGGGAAAAATAATCTCCCATTAAATGCAACTTGCTGAATGCCTAATGAAAAGGGAACACTGCGGTTATAACTTGTATTACAAATTTTCTGTAATTAACAGCATCTTCATTAGTTAATAAAGTTGGTATTTTTGTAACCTTGTTTACTCTTATTATTCTTAATAAAGTATTTTATAAAAAAACAACAACTTAATTAGCATTAAATTTCTTATTTAAAGAGGACGGTTGGACCCCCACTGCTAGGCTCCCAGTTCTAATTTCAGTGTGCATAGTAAGGAGGACTGGTACTTTAAAGATCTTCATGTGTCCAATAACAGAATGGCAAATAAAATGAAAGATAGAGTTAAATCCGTGATGATCCTGCTGAGTTTCCCCAAGACCTTTCTGATTGAATTCTGCACTGAGAATGGCCTAAGCATAGTGCAGTGAGAGTATATTTGCAGTCAAAGGATGTGCTTAACATAAACATGAATATTTTCCAAGAATTTTGTAGTTCCTTAAAATTTCATTATGAGAGGCTTGGAATTTTAATTTTTTATATAAATATACTTTACATTAGTGAAAAGGGTTCCCCTCACAGTATCACTTAATACTACTGATGGTGCAAACGAAGATGTAAAGGGGACAACTAACTTAAAACAAACATAGGTGCTGCTACTGCACTTAATATCACAAACAGCCAGCAGTTACCAAAAAAGGAAGTAAGTAAGACCCTTACTAACCCCACTAGACTAATGTCTGCATTCAGCCAAGTATTGTCAAGCCCCTACAGCATCAGAACATTATGGTAAGTTCAAATAAGGGACAGTAAGTTCATTACTTCTTTGTCATTATCCAGCTGAAATTTCAAAGTTCTAAGTATTTCTGGTTACACTGTGGTTTTGGTGATTTAAACATATATTTGCTCCAGCTATACCAACAGTGAATCATTCTTCAAATAAACTTATGTGCAGAGTGTTTGAAATCTGATTTTGAATCTTCCATGGCAAACATTGTTTTCTTTTTGTTTTTAGTGCAAGAAAGGGATTTTGTAATTGATTTATAAAATCATTGGATTTTATCAGGAGCTCCTGAAATCAGGGGGAAGCTTGACAATAACTTCACCCATGCAGGAATGCTTCTAAAGTTATAAAAATCTAGAAATTGTCCATATGTCAAAACCATATTTTGCTGCAGTTTTACATTCTAAGTATTTAGTATGTTCAGGTGACCTGTCTGTCTTCTGGGAGCCATGAAAATTAACTGCTTGTACAGCAATTTACACCACAAAAACCTATAAAGAAATATTGCCTTCATATTACACTCTGTCTTTTGTAGTTGCAGGAACACTATAATCTGCAGATGATAAATGATGGAAACCCACACTGATGCTCAGTGCTTGGGTTCTGCTCTTTGTTTTTTAACAAGCCTCATGTAAACAGAGCAGGCCATTTAGTAGAGTTTAGTTGTGTATCTATTCTGCCTTCAAAAACACCGATTTGGACAGCTATGTTCCAATAAAAACCATGCACAATAAATAGGAAAGAAAACAGCTGGGTGGAAAAAGGCAAACCATAGAAAGATTAATACCAAAGTAAGCCCTAAAATCAAATAATTTCTTTTTTTTCATGTTGTCTTAGTTTTTATAACGTAGGATATATGGTATGAAAAGCTGCAATAAAATAGTTTAACAATTAAATCTACTTCACTCTGGTTCACAACTCTTGGGAAGATGAA